TAGAAGTTATCTAAATCTATTTTTTAAAAGAAAAAATAATTATGTTCTAAAAATTTATTCCAAAATCCATACATATAGAAAAATAAATCAAAACTATCAATAAATAGAATTTTAAATTAATTGGATGAGAATTTTAAACAAAAATGACAAATTAAAGTAGTAAATTTAAATAATAAAAATAATTAACAAAAAAATACTGAAACAAAATGAGACCAAATTAAAATATAATCAAAGTTTGAAATTGAAAACAAAAAAAAGGATTTAAAAAATGAAAAATTAATGCAGTAAATTTTAAATAATATAAAAAAAATTGAGAAACATTATTTGAAATATGCTTTTAATCTAAAAATGTCTTTCGAGACATATTATATATATTAATCATGCAAGTATAATTTAAAAATTATCTAAATCTATTTTTCAAAAGAAAAAATAATCATGTTCTAAAAATTTATTACAAAATCCACACATATAGAAAAATAAATCAAAAACCGTCAATAAATATAATTTTAAATTAATTGGATGAGAATTTTGAAAAAATGATAAGTTAAAGTAGTAAATTTTAAGTAATAAAAATAATTAACAAAAAATACTAAAACAAAATGGGACAAAATCACAATATAATTAAAGTTTGAAATTGAAAAAAAAAATTTTAAAAATGACAAATTAAAGTAGTAAATTTTAAATAATAAAAATAATTAACAAAAAACACTAAAACAAAATGAGATCAAATCATAATACAATTAAAGTTTGAAATTGAAAAAAAAATATATAGAAAAATTAAGGACCAAAATGTTACAAAAAAGACATGAATAGCCAAAGAAATAATGATTTATGAGTGTGTGAATATTGTTTCAAATAATGAATGAATAATGAATAATAGTTTTACTTTAGTTTTATTAATAATTTTTTATTTATTTTTCAGTTCTTTAAAAAAGACTCTTTTTGAAAATTATATATCCAGGCATGGGTTGACATCTGTCAACATCTAATTGGATAGCCATCGTTCAACTAATACTGTTAGGTTAATTGGATAACAGAGTTGGATATAAAAGCTAGTGTCTCTTAATTTTTTTAACGCAGGGTATGGTTTGTACTAGAATTTGGTGGACGGATTCGAATGAAAAAAAAATTGACAACGTAAAGGCACGAGGTGACTTTAACCTTTTTACAGTGTTTTTGGATAAATTCAAGGGCACCCAAGTATATTAATGGAGATAAGATTTTATAATGATTTTAAACGAATATATATATATATATATATATATATGCGTGTCTGTACGTACGTTGATTATGATATAATTATCTTACAAAATTCACTTATTGATAAAATATCAATTATTGTACGGATATCTTACGTATTAAATAAGTTTATGTATTACATAAGTAAATTTTGTTGGTAACTCTCATAAATTTAATGATTGATATTTTTTTTATAAATGGATTATGTAAGACAATTGTATAAACTAAAAATGGTTGATTTCTCACAAAAAAACATTTGCTTTATTTGGGTATGTGAAGCCGTGACTGTTAATTAAGGAAAAATAGCTCAATCAGTTATTATAATTGCTGGTCTTGAATCCGTCTTTATATTTTAAATACATCTATTATGTTCTTAACTAATACTTAAGTTTTTATTTTTCTTTTTGATCAATTTTTTTTACTATAAGTAAATTTTTTTTATCGAAATACCCTCATCTGAAAAAAAAAAAAAAAAAAAACCTAAAATCACATGATTTTTATACTCTACTTTTTAAAATCTTTTAATTTTTTTTACACTTCATACAGAGACATTTCAATTTAAAAAAATTATTCATGATTAAAAAAATTAATGAAAAAACATATAAAAAACTTAATAGATACAACTAAAAATATTAGAAAAAATTAAAAACTCATATTATTATATAAATACAAATTGAATTATTGATCCTTTAATTAATACATGAACACCATTTTCCCAACGAGAGGCAAACTAAGACGGGTAGTACTTCTCTTTTTTCCTTTTTAGTTCTTATTAGTTTTTTTATCCGTATTATCGTCGAGGGTTGAATAAAATATATAAAATTATTTAAAAAAATCATTTCGAGTTTGATAGTTTGTTTTATGATATGAATCTATAAAAATATATGAAATCAAAAGTAAAAAAAATTATTTATAATTTTTTAATAAAAAAATTTGTATTTAATTATTTTGTATTTATGTTTTTCATAATTTCTCCTTCGGAAAAAGGATTTATCCTTATTAATCCATGAATTATTAACCAAAAAGAAAATTAAATAATTTTTTTAGAAAAACTTTAGTATTTCATAAGATTGTGTCAAAAAACATAAATAACAATTATTAAAAGTTTACATAGAATTGAACAAATCATTTTTTTTATTTAATGTTGATGAGAATATTGGTTTTTGAAAAAATATGAATTTAATTTTTATATATTTATTTACAAAAGAATGAATAATATTAAAATAAAAACTGTATTAATTTGAATAATTGAGTGGTTAAGCCAAAACATAATTTTAATTATTTAATTTAAAATAAGTTAATTTTAAAATATTAAAAAAAAATAAATAGTAAATGTTTAGCGTAGTAATAGTTGCACGGTTAATTTATAAAAAAAAAAATAATGATTCAGTATTTTTTTATACGTCATAACCTGTGCTAAGTAAGCTTAGAGTTTTCGAGTCTAAAACAAAAAATACTATTAAAAAAAAAGAGTTAACTTATAAGGAATCTATTAACTAAATTTGAAGTTAATAGACTAAAATAAAAATTATTATAAATTTGATTTCTATTAATTTTGATTATAAAAAGAAGAAACAAATTAATAAAACATGTGAATTCTTTTTGTTTTTTCTTTTTCTCCTTCTTAAATATTTTTTTTATTTTTATGCTATGCATGACTATTCCTTGAATACGAGCCTCATGCGTAGAGCAACCATCTTCTTTTTATTTTTCACATTTAACTTTCAATTATTAATTAATTAATTTGAGTTTGTTTTCTAAAAAAACCAAGAAAAAATTATTTGAAACACACTTTTAATCTAAAAATGTATTGTAGAAAAATTATATAAATATTAATCATGCCACTATAATTTAAAAGTTATCTAAATCTATTTTTCAAAAGAAAAAATAATCATGTTCTAAAAAATTATTCCAAAATCCATATATATAAAAAAATAAATCAAAACTCTCAGTAAATATAATTTTAAATTAATTGGATGAGAATTTTTTAAAAAAATTATAAATTAAAGTAATAAATTTTAAATAATAAAAATAATTAACAAAAACACTAAAATAAAATGGGACCAAATTACAATATAATCAAAGTTTGAAATTGAAAAAAAAAGGATTTAAAAGAATAAAAAATTAAGGTAGTAAATTTTAAATAATATAAAAAAATTGAGAAAAAATTATTTGAAATACACTTTTAATCTAAAAGTTTATTTCAGAAAAATTATATGTATTAATCATGCCACTATAATGTAAAAATTATCTAAATCTATTTTTCAAAAGAAAAAATAATCATGTTCTAAAAATTTATTCCAAGAGCCATACATATAGAAAAATAAATCAAAACTATCATTAAATATAATTTTAAATTAATTGGATGAAAATTTAAAAAAAAATAACAAATTAAAGTAGTAAATCTTAAATAATAAAAATAATTAACAAAAAACACTAAAACAAAATGGGGACCAAATCACAATATAATTAAAGTTTGAAATTGAAAAAAAAAATTTTTAAAAATGACAAATTAAAGTTGTAAATTTTAAATAATAAAAATGGTTAACAAATTAATCTTTGAAATTGAAAAAAAAAAAAGAGAATTTTAAAAAATGACAAATTAAAGTTGTAAATTTTAAATAATCAAAATAATTGACAAAAAATAGAATTTTAAAAAATTGATAAATTAAAGTAGTAAATTTTAAATAACAAAAATAATTAACAAATTAAAGTTTGAAATTAAAAAAAAAAAAAAGAATAGAAAAACTAAGGACCAAAGTCTTTTAAAAAAGACATAAATAATAAAAGAAATAGTAATTTATGAGTATGTAAATAATATTTTAAATAATGAATGAATAATAAATAATGATTTTATTTTAGTTTTACTGATAATTTTCTTTGGGAGACTTGCCTTCTTCAATTCGCGGGACTTTTCACTCCTAATTTATGTTTCACCTCAGAACAGCGCAGTATTGTATACTTAATCACTTACCACCCTCGTATCCCTTTCCTTCGCGAACCGAAGCGCAGGTCGCTCAAGAGTGGCACGAAGTAAACAAACACAATCACACACGTGTAGGGATAAAATTCGACACACTTTACCAACTTCCAGAGGCAGCTGGGCTTGTCAGCTTCAGTCAGCCCACAGTAAAATGACAATAATTTGCAATTTTTTCTCTTTACCTTCTCAAAACTTTTGTGTTTTTGGCATCACACAGCCCCAATTATTTGCTCCAGCACATCATTCATCCGGTGTGTTTTTGAGCTTTGACGGTGGGCATGGTTTCTTCAACAGTCCCTACCCTACAACTGAGGAAAGCTATGGCAGCATTACAATATAGGGCAGCTACTAATAAGTTGCACATTTCATACTCCAACGAATTATAATGTTAGCCCTTCATACAATAAATATTAGAGAAGTACAAAATATAGGGATGCCTAGCATCACAGTTACGATCCAAATAAGTCTTGGCTATATGTAATCAAATTTGCAAAAAACAAACATGCTGTAAAAAACAGAAAAGCAAGAGATGGGGACATATCCCAGAAATATCAGCTCTTCACGTATTTCTGTTAACCCACTTCAGTCCTCAAATTGGAACTGACGGATCATTGCTACTCGCAGCTCACCTCTAAATAGCCTTCCTGAGGCTAAGAAACAAGGTAACTTACAGCACAAGCATTTACCTTGACTCACTTTTTGTATATACATTTCCCGAGGCTGAAGTTGATAAGGATGCGATTCTTGGCATTTTTGTTTTTCAAATTGTTAAAACTGATCATTTTAGTCGAACCAGGAGGATGAGATGCACTTCCCTCTTGAATATGGACCTCAGCTCTTCATTAGCTTCAACACCTATCCTCCTGTATGAATAACCAATACATGCTCTTAAGGATGCTATCGTGCTTAATTCAACAGAGCCCAAACAGTAATACCATGTTAAAGCAGGAATACAAATGCCCACAGAAATGATGAATTTTCCTTCTTGCACTCTTTCCTGAGTTTTACCAAACTTATTCCGGATGGATGCTTGCACTCATAGCTTACCTAGTGCCCCTTTTTTTTTGACAAAAAAAAAAAGCATCCATCTAAACATTCACATCCCAGTTTCATTCATCTTTTCTTGCCAAATATGCATGAAGATAACCACCTTCAATTGAATAAAAGATGCAAAAGAAAAACAAAAATAGCAGCAATCCTAGAGATTCAAGTAGCTTACCCAATTTTTGATCCCTTCTTCCCCACAAGAATCTTTCGCTGGCTTAGTTTAGGAGTGATGAAGTGTTGTTCAATCCTCAGAGAACCATCTCTTAATTCTTTCCAATCCATCAACCGATGTTCAATGCCATACGGGATTTCCTGATATGAACAGGGTTGAAAGTCTTCATTCAGATCCCCCAAGTACATGTGCGAACACCACCCCCTCTTTTTCTAAGTACTAAAACATATAAAACATGCCACAAGCTTACAGTAAATAAATTGAAAATCCAAGCTTTACCTGATGAACATGGTCTAATAACCTTTCTCGAACAACTTCTAAAGCAATGTTCTTCATAACTTCTTCACTCATAGAGAGTGGATCTTCATCCCAAGGTCTTTTGACTGCCTAAGTACAAATACCATTGATGAGCCAAAATCAGATGCAAGTCTTAAGTGAATAGTGACAAATTAAAAAAGGAAAAATAAAAAATAAAAATGGTATAACTTGAATCTGCCAGTAAAATGGCTACCTTTTCCATCCAAACTTTGTAGAAAATAATAAACATGATCAACAGATAAATTAGATATTATTTATAGAGCTGAACAAATTATGGTAACCTTAACCCACAAACTGAGCGTTAATAGCAAGCCTTCCATGTATGAGTAAATTCCCCCACCAGGAAATGACTTTCATCAGAAATAAAGGACATTATTATACCAAAAGTAATTAAAACCTTAATTATGGTATGAGTAAACTTTTGCAGAAGAGGCACTTATAATACTGCAAAAAAAAAAAAAAAGAACAACAGACAGAAAACAGAAGTTGGGGCCCAAAAGAGAGGGATAAACAGCAATTAAAATTTAATCTAACAACATGTAAGGAAATCATAACTATATAAACTGAATTTTAACTCTCCAGAATTACAATAGATATATGCCTTTTGTATTTGACTAATAATGGGAGATATCTTCAAATTCCAGATAATTTGTTTCAAGGGAGGAAAACGTCTTCTTTCCTAAGGACTGAATAAATATAATTTAATCAAAGAAATCAGATTACTATAAATCTAGAAAAATTTCTTCCAAAACTTAAAAAGCAAGGAAAATACCTGCTCCATCAAATATTGAGAAAGATGTTTTACTCCAGTGCCCTTCAGTCCTGAGATCATGAAGTGCCTAGAAAATAGATGAATAGGAAAAAAAGTAATCATAGTATTCTTCAAGTATCCATCAGCAATTATAAAAAAAAGCAGCAAAGGAAAGCAATGCTGCTTCATTTTATAAGAAAACCCTACCTATCATATCCAGTAAGATCTTTGAATTCCTCAGCAACCTTCAATAAGTCTTTCTTTTTCTCAACTAAGTCAATCTTATTCATACACAATACCCGCTTTTGTTTCGGGTTTGCTTGTGCTCCCATGCATTTTATCAATGCAACCACTCTTGAATCAGGTCTAGATAGATGAAAAATAGAAGGTCTTTTATCAGTGGTCAGCAAATAACAGGAACCAACACAATATTAATAGAAAGATAGTAAGCGGACAGCGATTCGGGTTCCTATGCAAAAAGAAAATGCATATCCCATTGCACCAGTGGAACAAAAAATAGTCAACAACAAGAGGATGTTCATAAGGAAATTGAATAATCAGACAATAAGGAGATCGCCATTCTTCAATCACATTGAGCACAGTTCAAAGATTAATAAAATTGATTTCTGGGCATAATGTAACATAACAAATAGCTCCTCCACACCCCAGATAAAACCCCAGGCAGGACTTGCAGTGATAACATGTGAGTTTACACAAGCAGAATGCTAATCAAAATGGAATTTTGACACTGACAAGACACTACCATACTTCTTTAGAAGTTCTTTGGCTAGAAATAATTTTAGCAAACTTTTGATGCTTCTAATAACAATTGTAAACTAAGATGAACTAATGAATCAATAATAAGTTGAATACAAAGTTAACCAGGAATTGGATTGCTTTGGTAGATGGAATGGGAATAGGAATGCAGGACACTACAACAAGGATGGGCAAGGTGTAGGTCCTTCTTCAATAGATTCAAAAGATGCATCTTTATGATTTGGGTCTCACTTTCCCAAAAGCTTCATATGTAGCAAGGTCAGTTATGCAAGGAAGCCTTTTCATTTGGACAAGAATCCAAGTATTCAGAGTCAAATGTCACATGTTAGGATAGAGCAAGCATAAGGGAACAAAGTCTATAACAAAAGATCTGAAAATATATTGATAGGCTCCATTAGGCCATGCTGTGCTTATAAGTTAAGCCGCTCTTGGTTCAACTTTTAAAAGTAGAAGTGATTGGTAAAGGACTTGTTTTTAGAAAAAGCAAGCAGACAATCTCAAAAAAAGAAGGTAAAAGTTGATTATGAGAGAAGCAATGTCTTCTCCGCTTTTATTATAATCAGCTAAAGGGGGTTCTTTTTTCATAAGCACAGCAAGGCGAAACAGACCCATAGTATATAACAGAAGTCTTGAAAATATATAAACCATGACAGTCATGGCATCAATTAAAAAATATTTGAAATTTGATAATGCAAGATCTTCTTTTGCTTCTTCCTCTCTTTAATTCTGTGCAGAGTTCTATTCCCCTAAACCTAAAACAGCAAGTTTTTGCAATATATTCCCTTTGGGGTGGACCTTTGAAGGATTTGAGCTTTTATTTTTTTTCTTTTTATTCCACTCCACAAGGACTTGTTATGGATATGGCCTAATTTGAGTAGCAAATACCATTACAAAAGCTCTACAAGTATATGTACAAGGAGAAAGAGTATCATAGTCACGTACATGTAATGAAGTCATGCACTTTGAGGAACATTTTGAGGGTGGTGCTTTTAGTGATACTATTGAAAACATGTAGTGGGGAAACAATTCTAAGATTTGCTAATAGTTCATGACCTTGATGGCAGAAATATATTATAATAAGGCCCAAAAAAACTAATCGTATTTCAACTGCAAGTTAAAACCATGGTTACAGATATAGTTCTAAAGCTGATGTTCAACAAATGCTACTGATATGCTATGACCACCTGTCATTCTAGCGTGTAATAGCACGCAAAACAGTGACGAATGAGAATGTTATGATGGCAAATTGTTTGAGCATAATGGCAAATGGAGAAAAAAAAATGCTAATTGCTTAGGCCTGATTCCTAAGATATTATAAAGTTTGAATTAATACAAAGGAGAACATTATTTATCATGTCAAAGCTAAATCACAACACAAATGTCAGCATCTTCTTTATCAACAATGGGAAATAACACAAATGTCACATTTTCTTTATCACAAATGGAAATAACACACATGTCGCATTTTCTTTATCACAAATGGAAATAGAAGTCTCTTGAACAGTGTGTAAAACTGGGAACGACCTTGTAAAATAGCTTTGTGAAGTTAAGTTGACTAGGGAGATTATAGAAAGCCATAAGAAGTGAAAAATGAGAGTTTAAGTCTATTCAAGGTCAGATGCAACAGTTCACTAACCTGGTCAGATGCCTATGGACATCAAAAATAACCATGAGCACATCATATAAATCAACTGTACTCCAAGCACTTTCGACACGTGTCTTCACATCTTTGTAAGGATAACCACGGTTATTTACCATAAGTCCAGGGGTATCAAAGAAACACTGCATAAAATACACGTATAAGTAGTACCATATCTCCTGACAGAATACCAACAGGAATGCAATGATAAAACGTGTTTGGCTTGCAAATTACCTTGGTAATAAATATCCAAATAATTAGAAAACACCATATAATTAGCATGTCATAGACTATCTACTTTCTTTCAAGTGGGACGAACAAAAGACCTAAAAGGCATCATTATAGCAAGAAACAACTTGATACAGAAACGAATAGAGAGATTCAAAGGGAAACACATATTTCAATTCATCAAAATACAAAGCATTTCAAAGAATATGATGAGACATGATGACAAAAACACATGAAAGTTTCCATATTTTTTAATTAAAAATAATAATTTCCATTCCATATTTATTTTATTTTGCATGCATAGGGAATTATATAAATAACTTCCCAAAGCCTTGTACTGGCAGGGGACAAAGAAAGGTTATTTAGCAAAATGTTATGCTGACAGCTGAGAACATACATACAGGATAGCAGAAAATGATTGGCTCCTGACAAAACTTAAATTCCATTTTGTTTCCTGGATAAAGAGACGCTATTCCATTTCTTTTAAAGTAAGCCAGTATCATAATTTGAGTATTCAAGTGAAAGAATAGAATTTATTAATGCTACTGAAATAAGACCATGCAGAGACACCAGCTTAAAAGTCATCATTCACAAGAAGAAAGAACTCAATATAGAAAATAATAAAAGATTCAAATAGAACAATTTTCAAACCATGAAATCCAAAGTATTTAAAAGGATAAATCACAGCACGATGACAAAAGCACACTAAAGTTTCCATTTAAATTATTTTGTTAAAAGAATGCAATAATTTCAATGCAATGTAAATATTAGTTTGCCTTGCATATATCCACTTCTGAATTATATAATTAATTTCTCAAAGTCTTGTACAGGCTTTGGAAAACAAAGATAGGTTATTTATCAAAAAGTTAAGCTGACAATCAAAAAAAAAAATGACAGGATAGAGGAAAATGATTGGCTCCTGACAAAAATTTAAACTCCATTTCGGAATTCCTGGCTAATTAGAGACCTTTTCTTTTTCCTTTTTAAAGTAAGCCGGTATCACAGTGAGTATTCATGTGAAAAGATACTTTACGATTTATTAATGATGGCAGAAGAAAGCCATGTAGAAAATTAACTTTCTTCCTTTTGAAGTGTGACATTCTCAATTTTTCACTTTTTAGCCCATATGATGATGTTATTGACCATAATATTTGTTCTTTCATGCAGATGAAAGCATACATAAGGCAGTTTATTAAATACACACAAAAGAAAAGAGAATAAAGTTAATAAATCAAAGCCATGAGACATACTATTTGAGTGTCTCCATTTGTCATAACTCCCAACACTTCATGAGTAGTGGTATTTGTCTTCCGTGACACAGCAGAAACCTTCGTCTCGACCTATGCATATGCAATAACAAAAACAGTTATCAGATGAAGTTCTTGTTGTAAAAGAACCAGGAACCTTGCAAATAATATTAGATGTAACAAAATAAATTAAACATGTACACAGGTTCACAAAGAGAGAAGATACCCTCTTTCTCTCTTAAATTTTTGCTTTTGGGGAAGGCTCAATACACCTTTGGCTACGCAATGAGGGGTTCCAATTTAATATTCTTCCCACCAACCCATTCTAAGATTTGGAGTTGACAACTCCAGGTTCGAAGTCCCAAGTTTAATTATTGGGTTGTCCCTTAAGGCATATTTCTATCCTAATGTATCCAGAAGACATGGAATACCATGCTCTATGAAGAAGCAATATCAAGATCCCGCAAACTCATTCTTCACCATAAAAAGCCACAAAGTTAAAGGTGAACAATTGGACTCCATAAATGAATTCAAAATTTTGGAGTGCAATTCTATAAATATCCTTCTAAAGCAACCAGCAACAAAGATATAACATAAGAATTCAGTATTCCGCAATTGGAGGGGGCATCCAGTGTAACCAAAGTCCTAGAATGTGGTGGTTCGTGGAGTGGGTACAAATCATGATGCTTTGACTTGTGGGTAACACGGAATAGGAGGTTGCTCAGATTGCATTTTCAGGTCTCACCAAACCTAGACATGATAGATATGAACATAAATAAGCCTAATGAACCCAGTAGAGCTCCCTCAGAAGTGTGCTTTCTTTACATTGCAGGTAAATTTTTCCTTCCGCTACACTCTTATTGTTTGTTTTTGACATTTGGTCTTGGATAGCCCTTTTCAAGCATCCATATCACAAGGGAGATCCTTCCCATAAGTTGCAATTTGATTGGTCCCAGCACTCTCAAGCCAACCTCCATGCCAATTTCTCAAATTAAACACAACCCACCAAACCCTTAAGGAGTTATCTGGCAAGATTAAACAATAGAGACAGCTATTACTTAATGAATGTTCCTCACGCTCAATATATGCTCTTACAGGGTACCGCTCCAGAATAAAAGTAAACGTGCCAACTTGTCCATCTTTCACTCTTCAGAATCCATGAGCCATAAACCATGAACAAGAGCATCAAGCTATGCCGCATCACCTATCTAAGTAGTATCCAAACTCCTATACAATTCCTAACAACTTAATTTAAGGAAAACTAAAAAAGCATACAAGTTATTCTCTGAGCATTTAACATTTAACAGACATAGCCAACAAATCAAAGACCCCCCATTTCTATACAATAAAAAAAATTCAATAGATCACCAATATTCAAAACAACAACAGAAGCATCCAAAACACAAAACCATATTAAAAAGAAAAAGAAAAAACAAACAAACCAGGTAATTAGTCAATGCAGACTTCCCAGCATTTGGGGCACCAATAATCCCCACCGAAAGCGACTTCTGATCTTCCTCTCTGACCTCCTCCTCCTCCTCCTCATCAGGCCTTTCTAATGCTGCCTCCAGCAACGCTTTAGCCAAAAGCATCCTCCTTTGCTCCTCTACCTCCTCTTCTTGTTCCTCCAAAATTTGCAGTTTCCCTTTGTGGGATTCTTTTTTAAAAACTAATTTATCGACTCTCTCTCTGTATCTACCATCCCAGGTGGGTTCTTTGCTTGTGTTGTTGCTATCGTTAAAAGAATCAATTGTATAGTGCGTGCTGTCAAAGACGGAGTCATTGTTGTCATTTTCACTTTCGTTTTGGTCAGGTTGGGCTGAAAAGAGACGAGAGAGGAGGTTTTGGTTAGTGTAGAGAAAGGGAGGATTTGGAAGTGGTTTTGACGCAAGGGTGCTCAGGATTCTTAGTCCTCTCAGAGATTTCATTTTAGGTTCGTGAGATACTATTGCAAAAGCATAAACACATACATGATATGAAATCCTATGGAGAAACAGAGAGAGAGAGTGAGTGAGAAAGGGATTTGGTTGTTTTCTTTGAGAGATTTATTAAGAAGAGAGTGAGTGAAGGGGGCGCTCTGCTCTGGGGTTTTAGGGGTTTTGAGGGCTTCTTTCTGTCCTCAGATATATATTCAATTTCTATGTTTTTAAAGTTTAATGGAACCAATCTATCAGTCCCCGATATATTCAATTTTTATGTTTTAAAACGTGTTTATCATTTAGTAATTTTATTAATTTCATGTCCCTTTCCATTTTTTTTTCAAAATTATGGAAAATATTTTATTAGAAAAGAAGTTTTTTGGGGATGATGGACACTTTATAAGGACTATTTAATTATCTTTTACACTAACATTACTAATTGATTTTGATAAGTTAGGAAGATTAAGTTATAATTAACGCTGTAAAATAATTTTCAAGTATTTATTTATTTTTAGAGTGAGCTCATGATAGCTCTCTATTGTCAATAAATTTTATAATACTCAAAGAATAACTAATGATATATATAATAGTTATTTCATAAATCTACTTAGAGAAGAGTGATAGACACATAAAATTATATTTGGATCCACCAAACATGATAAGAAGATTTTTAAGTTTGATCAAAAAAATTTTTTTATTTTCTCTCTTGTTTTTCTCTTCTTTTTTTATATCTACCGTATATGCCACTAATTACTCATTGAGTATTATAAAATTTCTTACCTATTGCTACACATCTCCCATTTTTAGCAAAATAAACATTGAATCCAGATATTTTTTGAAAAAAAAATTGTAATTCAATTAACAAAGAAAACTACAATGTGCAATTACCGAAAACAATCAACTATCAAAGCATAATCGGCTCTTTTTTAAAACATAATAACGAGTGTAATAATTCACTCCCTAATGAATCATTTAAAAGCATGGGATGTGAAATTTAGAACCCGTTTGATTCCATTTTTTAATTTTGATGTTTTTTCAAAAAACTAAAAACTTTTTTACGTTTATTGTCTATTGTTTTTTGAAAAATATTTTTTCTACATATATATATGTGTGTGTGTGCGTGTGTAAAAATTCTAATACAAACTTAATTTGATTACTATGATTAAATGGTGTCATCATGGAACAATATGTATGATAATGGTGGTGATAATGGTAATCACATTATGAAAATCGAAGCAATGCTAAAAATAATAATAAGGGTTATAATAATACTAAATTTATAATTTTGTTATTTTATTGGTTCGAATAATATGATAGCAACAAATATAGTCACATATTTACATAGTTTATGGAGATAATAGCGGTGATACTAGTGGAGTTAGTTATAATGATGGTAACGTCAAAAGAGATGATGATGGTAAAAAAGTTAAAAGAAAATGATGAATGTTTTGACCATAATGATTGGTGACAAGAGTGTAGAAGTAAGATGAAAATGGTAGTTTGATTACCAATGGTGGTAGTCATAGTTATAATAATAAGTAATGATGATAATAATAAGGTGACACTCGGTGATTCGTTATGGTCATGGTAATATTGATAACAAAATATCTTATAAATAAAAAACTCAAATTGAAAACTTAAAACCAAAAATCACTTTATGTTGTTTTCAAAAGAGAAAAATAAACACAATAGTAACATGCTTAGTTGTAATGTTGTGTTTATTTTTTATATGGACATTTTTAAAAATTAAAATAGAAAATAGAAGACCACAATAACACTAAACAATATCTTAGCATTTGCTTATTTAAAAAAATCAACATGACAACATATTATTCTTAAAAAAAAAAGAACAAAAAAACAAAAAAACTAAAAGAACTGAAGTATTTAAACAGTAACTACTGTTCATTTATTGTACCTCAATTCTTTTAGTTTGATTTTTTTTTCTCTTTTATGGGTAGCCAAGGCTTGGCAGGCCTATCCTGGCCACCTGGCTTTTTTTTCTTCCTGTATGGCTGATCCTGGCCGCCTGGCTTTTTTTTGTTTTTTTCTTCCTATATGGCCTATCTTGGTCACATAGCCTTTTTTAGTTTTTTTTTTTTTTTTTGTTTATCACACATACACACACGTATAATCATGAAATTAGGTGTGAAAAATATAAAAAATAAATTGTTATTTTTTTTAATTTTATGTACAGTATAAAGATGATAGAATATATATTATATTTTTTAAGATTTTAGTTTGAAATATATATCCGATTGTATTACTCTTATTGTTTAAAAGTTATTTATTTAATTATTTGTTTCTTATTGAAATTATCATCAAATTAATTTTTTAATATAATTTTATTTGTTCATAAATTTTTTTTATTATATGAATTTTGGAATAAAATTTTGAGAACATCGATGTTTAATTTTTTAAAAATATATTATTATAATTTATACAATAAATTATTTTTATGCTTTTTAAATAAGTATTTTATTCTTTAAAATATCCTATTCTTATTCTTCTTCTTCTTCTTCTTATATATATATACACACACACTACTAGAAAAACTAAAAGATTATCACAATTCATTTCCTGTATCAATTTTTATTTTTTTATTTTTTTTAAGAAGGCCGCAAGCCTGACCTGGCACACAGTTATATTCTATAGCTGTCTGACCAAGCTTACAGCCATTTACTATAGCTTTTTTTTTTTTTAATATATATATATATTTTAGGGCTGGCTGTAGGTTCAAGCAAGCCTGCCTGACTCACAAGCAGTCCCAACCAGCCTTTGCCTTCTTCTTTTTTCCCTTCTAATAATTTATTTTTATATTTTTTTATCATAAAATTAAGTGTGAAAATATAAAAAAAATCGTTATTAGTTTTATGTATAGCTTGACGGTAATAGAATATATATGATATTTTTTTAGATTTTAGTTTGAATATATATATTTGATTATATTATTTTTATTGTTTAAACTTTATTTCTTCAATTGTTTGTTTCTTATTAAAATTCTCATCGAATTAATCTTTTTTATATATAATTTTATTTGTTAATAAATTTGATTTTTTTATATATGGATTTTGAAATAAAATTTTAAAAAATTATTGTTTTTATTTTTTAAAATATATTATTATAATTTATATAATTGATTATTTTTATGATTTTTAAATGAGAGTAATGTAGTTGCATATATAAATTCCGAGGAGAGAGAAAGAGCTAAAAGTGTATTTTAGATAATTTAACTTAGTTTTTTTAAAAAAATAATAATCGGTTAAAAAAAAATTCTAATGAGAGAGAGAGAGCTAAAAGTGTGTTTTAGATAATTTGATTTAATTTTTTTAAAATAATAATTTGAATCAATTTTTTTTTAAAATTAATAATTAGTTCAAAAAATTTACCGGTTTTATTTGTTTTATATATATATAATAGAATTTATCGAAACATATTTTAAAGTATTTTTATTTAAATCTATTCACTTCGATATATTCCATGCGATTTAAGTGGGTTTTTTCATATTTTTTTTATTTTTTTTATATACTCGAATCTGCTAAGTAAGATATATATGTTTGGTATATATATATATAGTTTTATTAGAAATTAATTATATCCGCACACATAACACTAATTATTTGTTATTTATTTTTTTTCATGTTCTAAAATCTGTATTTTTAAATAAAATAGTTTGATTGATGTTTTGAAAGAACCTCGTAATTATTCAAATACATTTTTTATATTAATATTATAAATTATTTTATTAATAAATATATATAAATCAAACAAGTTCGCTCAATATATAGATTCGATTTACATTAATCTCCGTAAACAAAATATTTATTTACATCATACCATACAAATCGTTAACCCTACGTATACAATGGTTGTCTAACCACAATATAGCACGAGATATCTAACTAGTTAGTGACTAATACATGTCTTCGGGTTTTAAAATAGCACGAGGGTTGCAATTGGTTCCTTATGTTTTAAACAACTTTTGTTTTGATCTCGAACTTCATCTGTGTTTTATTTTGGTTTTTGGTAGTTTAGAGAAGATAGAAACAAAGAGAGAGAGAGGAACGATGGAGCCTATTCCAGTCATGTTGATCATCACGCTCTCCGCTATTTTATTCATCTTGAAGAATAAAATTTGTTTGTGTTGGTCACAAGCTATGAAATAGTAGGAGTAGATAGATCGAAAGATCGAAGTATCTTGAGTTTTTTTTACTTTGATTTGATTTTTTTTTTGGTTTTGTCTGTATTAAAATAGGTTTGGAAGTTCAAAACGAATTTTTGTTATTATTTTTGTGATTTTAAAGTGTTTTTGGACAAACATGTGACTGAATTTGGGCTTGAAGAGGCTAGAAAATCTAAGTTCGACTTTCTGACATGGTTTTCGGTGAATTGGTTCGTCGAAAATTACAAACCGAGATTATTTTTTTTTGCCTTCCGTGCACGGGCTAGCACTAGGCCTTAGCGCACTCATGCTGGAACCAGGTCTACTTGCACACGCCAACTTGCTCTCCAGCTTTTTTTTTTTTCAATAATTGATTTTTTTTTATGGATTTTTATGAAAAATTATAAAAGATCGATTTTTTTTCATGCAGTCTAGTGATGATAAAATATATGTAATATATTTCAAATAATTTGTTTGAATTTTTTTAAAATATATTTGTCGTTTTATATTTGACGAGTCTCATCTCACTTAGAATAGTCATGATATATAAAAAAATATTGAATTAATAATTTAATTGAAATTTAATTATGCATCTACACACGTAACATCAATAATTTGTTATTATTTTTTTAATATTATAAAACTAATTTTTTTGAAACAAAATGATTGAAATATTTAAAAAAAAAATCATCAAACCATTCAAATATAGGTTTTTATGCTAACATTATTGATATTTTATAAATAAATATATATAAATTAAATACATATACTTTCAAAAAATATTCTCATCAGCTAGATAAGAATAAATTTTTTTTCATTGGTTAATTTTTATATAAATCTATACATTAATTATAATTTTTTTTAATATAATCTTATGAAAAATATATTTTTAAAGTATTTTTTAATTCTAGATTAACATTTTAGTTTATATTATTATAAGTTTTTATTTAAAAATCAATGCATAAAAAAGAATGAATTATGTTTAAGTGGAAAATTTATGAAAAATATGAGAAAAACTTAATTAAATACAAAATTTTAATTAAAAAATTATAAAATTTTAAAATAAATTTATTTTGTCCAACCTGCAGCATTACATAGGCAACCAACTAGTTTTTTCCTAAACAATCATAGGCATTTGCTTATTTGAAAAAATCAATATGATCTTATTATTTCAATAATTGAAGACTTCTCCCTAAGCATGTGCTTATTTGAAAAAAATCAATATTACCTTCTTATTATTTCAATAATTTATGACTTCTACCTGGCCCACGGTTGGAGGAGCAGCGCTGCACCAGGGCAGCAGACAAATAGATAGTGATGCCTCTATGATACTCAAAACCCTCCAAACCAAACGCCGTTCAGGGGAGTCCCTCCAAGCCAAACACAAAAAATTCCTATAAAACAAAAACCCCAGACCACGCATCCGAATGGACAAAAATTCAAAATACAGCAACATAACCTGCAGTAATTCCGAGATTTGTTCGACACACAGTGATCGTCTTCTAGAATTGGGCTATTTTATCACCCAGTTCACTGATCAAGAGCCACCACCAGCCATCGTCCATTCCAAGTACATTTCCCATCATCTTACAACCACTCGGGCAACACTGTCCTCATTGCATCTTCCTCTCCAGTTTTTTAGTTATTATAAAATAAACACATTTTGAATCAGCTAATAATGTAACTTCAATGCATAATTTATTCAATCAAAACAAGTAAATAAATAATGTTCATAGTGAATGCAATTCCAAGTTTCACAAGGTACCTCTACAAAATGATGGTGGCAGATTGCACCAGATATTAAAAGCGCGTCAAATCTATAACCTAACAGGCTTACAATTTTTTCTCTTTTCCCGAAGGTGAAGACGACGAAAAACAGGCAGAAATAATGTAGCCGCCATCTCTCAGGAGTAAACCTACACGCTAAAGAATGGGGTCTTTTTTATCTCACTTCCTAGTAAAGAATACAGCACAAGCATGATCCTGAAGGATGCAAAGATCGAGAACCAGGGAACCCCATGCAGTTTATATGAATTTTGCGGCACTTAGAGGGGCTTTGAATGCACGAAAAGATTCCAATGGCCTTCAGTCTTCTAAAATGCCATTCGACCAGCAAGCCTGCTTTCCAATATCCTTCTGTCAATAGCTGCATCGATTGAGCTCATCTGCAACAAGCAACAATAATGAGAAGATCAAGAGATGAACTGTGACTAGATATCAGTTGCATAAACCAGATATTTGAAAACTTGGTCCTATTGGGAAAGATGCCAAACTTTGCGAAAGAAGCTGACCTGGGCCAAGTCTGATTTCACTGTACGACGATAAAAATAAATTGTAATCATGCTACGAATGAGCAAAAATCTGTTGGGTATCATCTTGTTCCACCCAAACCCCAAATTTCGTAGTCAAGCATATGGAAAAGAATAACAACAAATAAATTCAAATTTTAAATAAGCAATACATACGCTTTTTGTTAACTGAGAATGATGCTAGGAAGGAGAATCCTCGATTTGATTCCAGCAAGCTTGTCAAAATAGTAATAACTAACTACCAACATAAATAACAAATACAACTACTTGAATAGACTGACAACCACAGGGTATGCGGCATTGGCATGCAAACCACAGATTTGTGGAAAACAAAAACAGAAACAGCATGCCCATCGGCCAATGGACATTGAAGTCTAAAGATGCTCAACTAAAAGGCACATAACCATTTGCAAACTGTGGGTTTGTTGATGAATTAAGAAAAAATAAAAATTGAAATTCATACAGAAATACCTCTCTAAATAGGTAACAATGTGTAAACAACTGTATCTGAAAACAAAAACCATAAAGCCTACCCATCTGGTTAGATGTGCAAACCGACTCCAAATACTAAAGAGGTAGTTATAACTTACCTGGCTAGTTTCATCATGCACCTGATACTTTGGTAAGGACATTCTTCTTTCCTCCTGCAAATATTCAAACCATTAGCAGGTCTAACAACTGAAGTTTATCAGGTAATACTGAAAGAAAGCATTCTTAACACAAAAACAACTTACCATGGACATTGCCTCATCATCCCAAACTAGATAGACTTCATTAACAGCTGGCTGGGTGGCAGGAGCCTTGTTTGCAATTACAGGGGTGGTCCAATAGAAGGGCCACCAGTATTTGGACCAGAGGCATAAGAATGTGCGTTGCCTAATGGTCCAGCTGCTACAAACAAATTGAGAATGCGGCGTTATCATTCTTGAGCAAAATAAAAACTTAGACGGTATGACCAATCCCAATTAATGCAATGATAAGGGAGTATGATCCCATGCAGAATGAATGCTATTAAAGAAACTGCTACAAGCACTGAAAACGAACAATCTTTTAAATCAACATTGACAAAAGTTCAAACAAAATCTGTTTTAAGACCTTTTTTTCATAAAAAAAAAAAGAAAAAAAGAAGAGGATCTATTACATTATAAAATAACAAGAGGCCATTATCAAACCTGAAATGCTCTGAGTTAGGTAGCCAGTTGTCACAGAAGTATTGACTCCCAAATGCACATTCACTGAACCTTTAACTTCTGCAGGAGAGCTTGATGAAATACTTGTTGGAGGCAAAGGAGCAGAAAATGTTGAACTTTGAGGCAAATTATTGTTGACAACAGGGAACAATGGCTGTGATACAGGTAGTGTGGATGAGGGCAGTCCAGGAGGAATTACTTGTGACGGTGGGAGTGCAGATGATGTAGTTGACGTCACAGTAGGCCTCACATTTTGCACAGGAAATAGTGGCTGCTGGGCATATGTGATTGGGGCAGGAGGAGGAATTGAAGCTCCAGGATGCTGTGGGAACCAAGGCTGTGGCCGGGGAGGAACTGGCCAACCAGCAGGAGGAACTGGTACGGCAGAATTATAACTGTAGCCAAAACCAACAAAGGTATACTGAGAAGTTAATCACAATTTTCCTGTGTGCATAGATTGACTACAAGAATCACTGCATTTGCCATATAAATCCAGTATAATACAGCCATGATGGATGAATCAGTTATTACTGTATGTGGACCCCATAACATCTGACGAGTGCAAGATTCACTTGGTTTTGAAAACTTAACACACAATCGGTCAGAAGTTTCATACTTAGACAGGACATATGCTACAGATTTTAAATCTTTGAAATAGAATCATGAGAAAAATGATGCACATGCAGATACTTCCAGAGTTTATTGGACCTGCAGTACAACAGCCTTGACCTAGGATCAAAGTTGACCTTCTATTCTTTACCAGATGGTTTCAATAACAGTCAAAGTTCAAACCTAAACATATCGATATATACAAGAAACCCAGTATATAGTTTTAGCATGAAACCCATTATATTTTATCACCAGTCAGCAGTGATCATCCATTCTTTACTAGATGGTTTTAATAACAGTCGAAGTTCGTATTGTAACCATATTAGAATAAGCATGAAACCCAGTTGTATGGTTATAATCCTGGAGTATTTGGTTCAATGAAAGCATATCACACTTATCATGATAGGAGAACAAGAAAAGAAAATTTATGACGAGGGTTGCATTTTTTTCATCCCTTGCTGCCTTACACTCAAATAAACACAATTAAACAACAATATCCTAATTCGGATCCTAATTTGGGTAGGGTAGTCCAACAAATCCTTCTCAACCAATCTATTCGATTTGGCCCAAAAAAAAAAAAAACTTTCATTACATGAATAAAATGAGCACAATTCAGAAATTGCTTCAAAATCGCCATCATTCACAACGCTAATTACTGTGATAATGAAGAAAGAATTGCACTTCAATGCTTGCAAAATGGTGAAAATAAGTATAAAAGGATGCAGTTATCTGTTAATAGTAGAGAAAGAGAAGAAATATGAAAAGAAAAACTTACATAGGCTGCATTGCACCAAGAGGTTGTGGAGGATATCCAGCACTCAATGGTCTTGGCACCATACCACCAACAAGCTGAGATGACGGAATATCCACTTTAGTAGCTTTTGATGGAGTCTCATCGTCTGCCAGAAAAATAAATATCCGTGAGAAGTAACCCTAATTTATGTGATAAATACCACAACTTCTAAATATTATACTTTATGTACAGTTACAGAAACTGTGAGAGGACTCAGAACTGATACATACATCGGTTGAATATAAAAAAGAGGCTGTATTACAAAAAATTAGAATTCAATTTTACCTTTAATTACCTAAATTGCAAAAATGAAAATAAAAAAAATGACATAAACTGGTTTCTACTGAATAAAACTCAACTAATTCACAAATCAAGGGAATAAAACAACTAAACATATAAAAGGTCTAAAATCCCAAGTTTCAAATTCCAGCAATGACAACATATCTCTAAGATGAAAAGATATGAAAATTAACAAATCTCTCAATCAACTGGAAAGTAATGATGACAAGGTACATAGAATCATTCACACAAATTATTACAGAAAGTAAAAACAACACCAGTTAACCTCCTTACCGTCTTCTCCATAGTGAGCAGCCAAGACATCAGGCGGGATTCCTTGCATCCCATATATTTCAATATCAGTTGATTCTCTTCCAGGTTTCGCATTGGGAACCCTGAACCAAAGCCAACATATAATCAGCTAAATCAATGTAAACCTCATTGACAACATAAACAGCTCTGACAAAAAGATACCTAAAATCCAGCAAATAATATAACAGCTCTAGTCAATTATCGGTCAATCCCACATAATACTATCGAAAATTCCCACCAAAAAAAAAAAAAAGCAAAAATCTGAAACAACAAGTAATGTATTATTAGCAGTTGGAATTTATCATTCCAATAAACAATTATGGCCAAGCAGATCGTGATTTTAAAAATAAATGCAAATAAGAAAATCCCAAATCAAATTAACGAAACCCTAAGTAATCAAAATTAATGATCACCGGTTCTAATATATCGCATTCTCCGTCTAAAACTAAAATTAAATTAGTTTTTTCTTAAAAAAACGGAGAGAGATAAAAAGGAGTAGCGGTAATGGTTTTTACTTGGTAACGGACTCTTTGTGGACCTGCAGGACGTGAATGGACATGCCACCAGCAGTGGATAGCTTTTTGTGGCAGACATGGCACTTAAAGTGCTTCGCTTTCTGGTGCTGTACTAGAATCTTCTCGTCATCGAATTCCCTATCGCAGTAATAGCACCACACTTTTGACGATACTCTCTTCTTCTTCTTTCCCATTCTCTCAAAATTTTGAATTATATTTCGCTGGTTTCTGCAGGAGCAGCTGATTGTTGTAGAATTTGGGTTTTTTTCCTTCTTTTAGGGTTTGTTGGGTTTTCTCCCTTTGTCTCCTGATTGTGAATGAATCTGTGTTTTAATCGGGTCGGATCTCCTTATTTGATTTAAATTGGGAATCTCAAGGACACCGGTTGCCACATCAGCTTAGAGGTTTCTTTCACACTTCCGCGCACGCACGACCACAAGTGGGTCCCATACTTCCTTATGTACAACGCATGCTTAGGTTACATGACCTGTTTAATCCCTCGACTATTTTGATTTTGGCCAGCGAATCCCTCATCATTTTGATTTCTTAAAATGACTCTTGTACACGATAATTTTGTGAGCCTTTTATCCAGCTCTAGTTCTGCCCGAGTCAAACATTAAGTTTGATAAAATATGTTTATATATCATTATATTGGTGTCCTTTAACTATTTAAAAATTAAAAAAATTATTTTATTTACATTTTGTTTAATTCATCACACATGAAAGTTGATAATTTTTTTAACTTATTATTTCCTTCAATTTTTAAATAATTGGTTAAAAAAAAAAACTTCCTAATTTTTTAACAGGTCACAAAAATACTTTGCTTTCTTAGTAGAACAATTATTTCGCATTAATTAATAGTAACAATTTAAATATTTTAAGATCTTGTAGATATAATGTTGAAATTTATAAATAAGATTAATTAGATTTCGATTCTTATAAACAATTTTTTTATCACTTAAGAAACTGTTTTTAATGTTTAGTATTATTAGAATTTGGTATAAAGATAATTAAATTTGATGTTTTACTTGGGTTATTAAGATTGTAACCAATAACAAAATGACATGTGGATAATTTCAGAAAAGTTAGCATTTGACTTATCAAAGTGGATGGAAGGTTCGACTTCAAAAAAAAAAAAAAGAATTACAGGAATCAAATTAACAAATTAAATTAGTGAGGGGTTAAATTAACAAAATCGAAGTAGTGGAGAGACCAACAAGGTCATTTAATCCACTCACTTCTTGTCCAATAAAAACGTTTCTTTTCCGTACGGTATTGTTTTCGTTTTTAATAAAGAAACGCGTTTTCTTCAGGTGAAGAAATCCTCTTTTACTCCGAGAAGAACATCAAAGCAACAGAGAAGAGGACCCAAATCAGATTTCTAGCAGGTAAATAAAATCTCTCCCTAATTGACATTCACAAACTGGGTTTCGATTATTAATGCTCATTTCAATGTAAAAACTTCGTTTTTTAATTCATTTTGATTTCACTTTCACAAGCGGTGCCAGTTCTTGATGTGGAAATTTGGCTTCCCCTGGCATGAATGTAAATCATTGCAAAATAACAATCAGCATGCCTGATTTTATTTTTTTAGCGCTTTCTCATTGTTCACATGCTCTAAATTGTTCTCTGTTTACAGTATTTTCTAACCGTTTTTTAACAGTATCTGTAAATTCTCTTTAATTGGAAATTGTAATGCAGTTTTGCATTGAAGGAAATTAGTAATCATGGTTTTTTTCTTCAGCAACTGACTTTTAAGAATTATGGTTTTTGAAAACAGAAAATGATAATCTAGAGGGACTTGAAGAAAAGGAGGGAGATATTCCGAAAACAAGAAAAATAAAAAAGTAGATTAAGCTGTCGAAAGCATGAATTTAGTTAGGGCTAAACCATCTTCTTCTTGCATAATGTAACAATAAATGGGAACCAAACTATGGCAGTCTATAAGTTTCTATTTACATCTGGATTGACTTTCCCATGATTTGTGTGTTAAGCTGATTGAAGCATTGTTAATGTGATATACTCATCTGTGGCCTCGTGGTCTGGGGTAGTAATGGGAATTGGTTTTTTCACTAGCACCACCTTTTTTTGTATCCTTTTGCAAATGCAATCCATTCCATATTTCCATGTATAAGTTTCTTGTCCTTGTTTGTTTATCTTTCTTTTCGTTGATCTATATTGATTGTGATCAGTGTCACCTGCAATTGAACTAGTTTTTGAAGTCACAGACTGAACCCAAAAGCAGCCAGGCAGTCTTCAATGGGATATATTGCTTTTACAAAGCATCATATAACAGATTGGAAGACTAGTTTTGTCTTTCTTCATTCTACATGAATACGAGTTTTGTTTTTGCTGGTTATTTTGAAAGAAAGGGATTGGATAAGCAATAGAGTAGTTGGATCGCAATGGATAACAACATCAGTGAGAGCCCACTTCGTCCCAAGTGGAGGAAGGTCGCTTATGGAGGAATGCAGCCTGGGTTTGATGACAATCACACTGACGAGTCTTTTCTTGAAGATATGGTCATGAATGCTAATGTTGTTAAGCGGGACATACTAAAGGTGATGCAAGACTCAGTTTGTATCTCTCAGTATCTGTGCATTGTTGCGCTTGTCGGCTTGGTGTGGACTCACACCCTTCAATCAACCCTTGATGAAAATTCCCTCTTGCTCCTTGATGCAAGCCTTTTCGGATCAGGCTTTTTAGTTCTGCTTTTAACCAAAGAAATGCGCTCTTTGAATCTTCTCTTCCATTATGTCCTCAATATCTCTTTTTTCACAACTGGTTTGTATATTTTAGCTCCTATTTACCACACACTCACGAGGTCCATAAGCTCAGACTCCATCTGGGCAGTAACTGTTTCCCTTGTCCTACTTCATCTCTTCCTGCATGACTATTCAGGATCGACCATTAAAGCTCCCGTGGCCTTAAAAAACCCAAGCTTAACCAGTTGTGTCTCTTTAAATGCTTCTGTCGTCGCTTCAGTTTTTATTGCGTCTCGCCTTCCATCAAGGCTGCATGTATTTGCCATCATGCTATTTTCATTGCAAGTCTTCCTTTTTGCTCCATTTGTCACTTACTGTATCAAGAAATTCTCCTTCCGCTTGCATCTTCTGTTTTCCTTTGGGTTGATGGCCGTGACCCTGGCTTTGGTTTATACGCTGCACCACTTACTTTTTGTGCTACTGCTTGGTTTATTGGTGTTTATAAGCATTGTCTGTCCTTACTGGCTCATAAGAATTCAGGAATACAAGTTTGAGATCAATGGTCCTTGGGATGAGGCTAAGCTTTGTTTCAACGTAACAGATTGAGATTTTTTGGTTTCTGGACGGGACTTGTTGTATGAATGAGATTAAATTGTTTATGATGATTTTGTGTATGCTCTTCATTTGCTATAAGTAGGAATTTTAAGTACTAGTAAGGAATATCTTTTTCAAAAAAAGGGACTTGGCTCACTGTTTATTTTGCAGGAAGATTGGTTCATAAGGTGTAGTGGCATTATTGTGGAATTGTTAAGGGATTAATGTTTGAGCTTAGGACATTAAGTAGGTGGAAAATGAAGTAGCTTATTATGCTCTTAGAAGCTCTCTTTGCACCTGTTAAAATTGTTACCAGCCGTCCAGTTTCGAAGTGAATCTCATCAAGGGTGTGCATACAGAGTAACCTCGGAAGTGTTCGGCTTCTCAGATCACACACCTTCGACAATGTCTCTGTTGTCAACATCTTTTGATGGGCTGATTTCTCAGTTGAATCATTTAAGATCTTTTTTCAGTTGATTATACATGGTGTGAATCCTGACTCACCAAAGGAACAGGCCCTTTAGCAAACGGAAGTCTTGAGTTTATTAGGGTTTTAGTTTTGATCTGAAAAACTACGGTTACTGAGTTGCAAATATTATATTTTGCAACGTACGGAATTTATTTAGGTGAACGAAATTATTTCAGTTCTCTATCCATGAAAGTCAGCTAGTGTTTGAACTTAGAAACACGTTGTCTGGATAACCAATATTCCCTGGCTACAGGCAGGATTGTGCCATAACCAGCCATTATGCAAAACATGGTAAATGCCAATAGAACTATTCATCCTTCACATAGCCTAATTATTTAGACTAGAATCTTTTATACAGAAAAGCTTAGCAGTTAATTGCTACTGCATCTTATATCCAATTAACATGCCAAGGGAAAATGAGATCAGCACGAAAAGCAAAAAGATAGTGTACATTAAGAATTAGGGTCATTTTATAAGAAATTTCTGACAAATGGCATCAAAGCTCGGGCATTTATAACAAATGATGAAGGTTAGCAAGCGCAGCCTCAACTTCAATTGCACAGTGTCAAGTGCCTTGGCCAACCTAATCTTCTTTCTTTAGCGACTGGGAGGAATCCCCAACTTTTCCCGCAGACTGGTTTACACTAGATTTGGCCTCAGCAAGGAATGCTGGATCAGGCTCATGCTTATCTGAAGGTTCCTTAATTGCCATATAAATGTAGAATGCGATAACTACATTGACGGAAATGACAGCGACAAATCCACTAACCAGTGTTAAGGAATGGGGAGACAAACTGTTTACACCTGTTCCAAAATTTCCATCAATTTTTTTAGTGTAAGAACAAAATAACAGCTTACTATAAATAGAGAAGTGCTTGTAGCTAATATCATTAAACTTGCAGGTACTATTTTCTCAAAACTTACCAGCAGAACACAAACAAGAGAATTTGCAAAAATTCATTCTACTGGCTGAAACAGTCAAAGTATTTGAACAGAACTCTCACATAAGCATAAAAAGGTTCCCAGTGATGCTTTTTCTCAACTTGGTGGCAGGTTAAGAAGAAGAAAGCGTTCAGTGCATTTTCTGGAACATGTAGACTGATAAAAAATAGCAAAATTGCAATACAGAAGCTCAATAAAACTAGCAATGAATGGCATAATAACAAGCCAAATAACAAGTTACCATCAGAATCCAAAATTTCTTTTCCACAACTAAAAAGTGAAAACCTAAAATTTGTTCATAGGAATGAGAAATTGACCAGAACAAACAAGTTTCAATAATTCTGAAGACAGACCTAGAAGCATTTGTTTGGCAAATAACACAATTGGCATAGGCATGATTCATGCCAAATACGCAAATTATCTTGAAGAATAAAATCACGTATGCCTATATTTAAAAGAAGGCAAAAAGAAACCACTTTTACCAGGTATCAAGTCATGGTTAAAAGCATAGAGGATTGCCACAGGAGCCATCCACATAAGCATCGAGGTGATGAAAAACTTCTTTATCACTCCAGCCATATCTACTTCCTTCAATGAGAGAGAGAGAGAGAGAGAATCAAATACTGTTGGGGACGAGTAAAAAGAGAATTCTGTAACAAATGAAACAAGTACAATGGCTTGTATGCATCCTTCCATCTTGTCTTATTTTCTAAAAACTGTAACTCATATGTTGCTTTAAAACACAAAGAACCATGGAGGTCCAATTATTCATGCTTTCTTTGTCAAATGAGCTGATCCTAGTCAATTAATCAAACTAACATTTTGAATCATACTCAAAAAGTAATAAACCCAGATAATTAAGATATTAAAAAGGCACCTGACTTTAGTAACAACGGAATCAAGTGTTCTTTGGCTCTACTCCAGGATGATAAAATACACAAGCCCCAATGTTATTCTCTTCTAATTTCCGTCTCCTCTGCCACAACACCACTAAGGGGTCTGTTGATAAAGTAGAATTAAATGATCAAATCTCCAACCCCCCAATCTGGAGATATACAACTGTTAAGTAGACGTTTGACAGTACAAATAGATGAAAGCCATGTAACGGCAAAAGGCCACCAAATCACGCAGCTTGAATAGCCCATTCAATAACAGAAAATAAACTACTGTAAAACTAACAAAAATGGATCTCAATGGATAGAAAAATAAAATCAATCACTTAAGAAAGCTCTGATTTTGGAAAATATGTATATAAATCTTAAACTGAATTTGAAACTGAACCCTATAATATTTTGGAACTGGAAAACAATGCGGAATCTGAAAGCTTTACCTTTGAAAATCGGATTTTCCTTCTGCTGCTCGATTTCCGGCGGAGACAAAACACGAATAAACACGAATAAAAAAATTTCATTGACTTAATAGGCCGTTGGCCCAAAAAAATATGGCGTATGTTCAGTTTCAAAGATGACATAAAGCCCAAAGAACATGGGTTTGCTCAAGCCCAGATTCCTAACTTAACCCGAGCCAGTTGCGTCTGACATTCATGGGATTGTGAAATAAAAGAAAACTACAAGTAACCCTTCTATATAAAAAGTTAAAGAGAGAAAGAAAAAGTTTAAATGATATATTGATAATCTCATTGCATGAAAGTTGGTAAAAATACCATCTGATCACGGAACCCAATAATAATAATAATAATAACTAGAGCACAATTATCTTAATTTTTTTAATAAACGAAATATTTTTTCAACAATTTAAAAGCATATGAAACTGCAAGTTCTCACAAAAAATAAAAAATAAAAAATAAAAGGAAAATGACCGAGTAAAATCATGATAATATATATACTATCACTCTCTGGTGCAGTAGAAGAAGAACAAAAACGTAATAAAAAAGGAACTCACAAAAAAAGGAACTCCACAAATTAAAATGTAGAAATTTTAAAACGATAAAATGTCCAAAATGCCTTCAAAACTTCAATATTTGTAATAAAACACTCCTAGGAATATAAATCCATCTAGATTTAGTTTTCTTTATGATTTGTCTAGCATGGTTAATTGACATTTTACCCAGCAAATTAAGGTGTTGCAGATACACCTCTCAATTAATTAGTTTTCTTCATTGCTGTTGTTGTTTTGGATTTAGCATTAGAGGCTTTTCTTAGCATTAATTAGATAATAGCTCTTGCCAATTTATCAAAATGAGCACTGCCGATTATTCATGAGGTTTATGGGGCCAAGGCCAAAGTGTTTTGGTTTTGCTCTTCCGAGTTTGGAAGGAGTGAAAAAATAGGTGTCATGGCAGGAATGGTGCTTTAATTTGAAGCTCAGTTGATTGCTTGAATAATAAGAAATGGAATTTGTTGTCATGCGGTAAGCTCCTTCTTAATCTGTTCCTAATTCTGTTCGAATGAAATTCAATCGGTAGAAAATTTCTCATGTCAATTTATGCGCATCAAAACTTATAAGTCATCATGACTCGGCCAAATGAAAGCGTAATTCCATATGTTAGAGACTAATATAGATTATATTCTAGGACCTCACCTATAAGCTTAAGCTTTTAGGTGAAATGGTCATTTAATATGGTATCGAGCTTAGTTGACCTCGAGGTCCCGAGTTCAAGTCTCACTATCTCCAATTTCTCAAATATTAAGCACAATGTAATGTAGACACGTGCAAGTTTCATGTCCCAATTGTTGAGCCTTTCACTTGAGGGGATGTGTTAGAGACTAATATAAATTATATTCTGGGCCTCACCTATAAGCTTAAGTTTTTAGGTGAAATGGTCCTTTAATACCATATTTATGTCGAATTTTCGCATAAAAAGTAAATAATGAAATTAGGCAGAAGGAAGGGGTTGCCGATTGTGGAAATCATGACCAAGGATAGGAAGGTATTGACAAGTCACAAACCTTGAGAATTTCTTGCCAAGATGCGCCGAGGACTGAATGGGAGCTGCGTAGTTGAACAATAACTTAAGAGAGATTGTAGACTTTGTTTTCTTTTTCCTGTTGTCGTGCTCGATACTATAGTTGTCTGACAAATTAATTCTGAAAATAATGGAGTATCATTCTTTTGGATTTGGCTCGCATCAGCATATCCGGGTGGCTGAAAGGCCAAATTGAGAAGGACCAACCTGTTAAGAAGAAAGAACGCTATAACCATTTAGTTTTTTTTTTTTTTTAAAAAAAGAAGCTGCCTTGGATTTTTTATAATAATTTAGTCGAATAAAAATATATAAGACTGTTGCTATAAAAAAAATTAAAATAAAGTATAGATTGTTAAAAAATTTCCAAGTAATTCCAGTTCTAGTATTGTTCACTTCAATCAAATCAAAGAACACAATGGTCGTTTTCGTTCTCTAAAGCCGAAGGATATAGAATTGCCAAAGAAGCCTAAACAGCACCTCTTTCTTGAGGATGAGCCGATATTTAGTCTCCCAAAGCCCAAATAGCCCAAAGATGTACAGAGTTTGAAAAGGAAAAAAAGATTAGATGAATAGCCCAAATACAAAATTGGGCTAGCAAACAAAACCCACTAATTCCTATACATACCAATACGTGTACGTTATACAACAGCTTCGTTAAAAAGGTTGATATAATTGAAAAAATCTATAAAATGTCAAACACGTGGATTCTGGTCCATCCCCCGTACCATTGGGGGCCCACAGACACCCCCTGGTCCATCCCCTGGACCATTGCATGTGCCTTCTCGTTCGAGATGTAAGACCATCAACAGACACAAGCACGCACGCATTGCAAGTGTAAAGGGTTTTAATAGACATGACTGTATTTTAATGAAATTATCGTCGAAATCTTTCATGCAATTACAATGTATAGCTTATTTAATATTATTAAAAATTGATGTAAATTAATTTTTTATTATATTTTTTTATTAATTTGATTAACTTCTATTAGTTAACCTATAAATGATTAATACAATACCGACATATGTCATTTTAAGAATAAAAATGTAATTTTATTTTTAAAATTTGTTCTTTCTGATTTTATTTTAAGTTTAAATCATTTTTAAAATATAAAAAACCAATCTGTTTAGCAACACTAGTTGTTGAAGATCGATTGTTCAGTTCCATCCGCGATGTGTCATAAAACACCCTATTGACTCATGGTAAGAACCTCCATCTGTGGAGATCATGGAACCATCAATCCTTCTTATTCATTTACTTTTTGTTTTTTTTTTTATCATCTCTTCAAATTCTATGTCTTTATTATCTGAATGGCGGATCATCAACAAAAAAACCAATTAGGCCAAACAACATCTCTTGCATTTATTTTTTTTGGCAACGCAATGATTCTTCCAAAAGAAACGTACATAACTGACATTTGTGGCTTTGAATTTAACCATTGAACGTGTTCTGTAGATTTTTCAAATAAGTCACATCCACTAGATGTGTCTGATTGGTGCTTTTTGTCTAAAACTGCAAAGGGGATCAGTGTCTGTTGGGATTTAACTTCTTTTACCAACTGCTGCTGTCGGTTCTTCTTCTAGGAGATCAAAAGTGTTAAGGAGTACACATGAGTTTGGTTCTTGTTTTGGGACTTGGATGTGATGTCGAGGAGCAAGAATTAATGCTGCGTGTGAGTGTGGACCAATTGGTAAGAGAAAAGAAGGGGGTGTCTTTGGTTACAAATGGTGGCAACCCAGTAGGTACTTGTATTGAACTTGGACGCTCATTTTCTCCACTGTCGTAAAGATCATATGCACCATCATGTCGATTAAAGAAATGGTGATAGAGAGCAAGTGAAGTAAGCAGACTGAATATAGAGAGAAGCAGAAGGAGTTGACATGTACCGTGCAACATCAGCAGCCATAAAATTCTATCTCTCTACTTTAAAAAAAAATAACCCATAAAATTTGAATATATAAATAAGTAAACTTTTAGTAGTTATTTTTTATTAATATTTAATGGAAAATTTTATATTGAAAAGAATTTACATTCATGAAATTTAAACTAATTTTGAAGTTACCTAAGTTTTAAATCCTTGTACCATTAACGTTCAGAGAAAAGTTTTAACAATTTATAAAGGCATTAACTTTTGGTATATGAAAAAGTAATTTTTCATTTATATATAAAATGTCGAGCAATTTAAATTTTAATTAATAACATTATTGAAAATATTTGATGGACATGCTTTTTTAATGAAATTTCAAATTTATTTTGGGTCAATTAATAAAAAAAATATCCATTTGTTTACCTTAATGTTAGGAGCAAAATTTTTATTTAAAAAATTATGGACCTATAAAACTTTAGTGGTTAGAAAAATCAGCTTCCCATCTTAAATTAAGGAATGAAATGTTTCATACAACTTAATTTTGACGTCATAAGTATCTTTTTAAAAAAAATGTAAAACAGCCATTTTTTGAAATTTTACTGAATGTTGGAAAATCAACTTCTCTTCTTGAACTTGAGAAATAAATGCTTTAATTTTTTTTTTAATAAGTAGTATTTTCTATAATATGCATGATAGATCCAAAAGAATTGGCTTAAACAGAAAAAACTCGACTCGTTTATTTAAATGGTCTTAGATTCAAATTCTTATGTATGTAAAAAACTCTTTTAATAATTATGTCCGTCTTATAGGTTTGATAGAATAACTAAAGATTAGTTTAGATTTTTGGATCTATGATACTTTGGGGATAAAAAAATATAATATGCATCATATAAATTTTATGAAGTGAATTTTTTCTTTAAAGGAAAATTTTCATCAAATTGAGTTAATTAATATATATTAATTAAAATGTTTGGTATAATGATATTGCTGAAAATTAATTTTAATTGAAATTAATTGTAATACATTTATACTTCAATATGAATTAATTAAAACATTTTTTTATAAAAGGCGCGCAGCTGGCGCGCATGTTCTCTTGCTTCGAAAAGTTAGCTTGCGACAATTATTCAAATCAAGTTGCATTCATTTTCATGGCAAGTTATCTTCACAAGAAACAAAAAAGACACTGCTACGATCACACACAAAAGATCCAAAATACTGATTGCAAGGGCCTGCAGCCAGGTCAAATCAATTTGCTTCTGTCTTACGAGTAATTTACTAAATGAATATAACCCTTCACCGGGTTTACTGTAAGCACATTCGACACTTTTAAATGACCTTTCTAGACTGTCTTATTTTGGAGTGATGTTTTCAGTGAGCTTTGCGTTCTGTCTCTAACTTGATGTAAATAAAAATTAAAGTACTAGCAAAATTATGGATTTATTTCTTCTTTTTATTCTTTTTCCCCTAACATATTATCTTATTATTATTTTTTATTATTTTATCAATTTTATTTTAAATGAAATCAACATTAAAACAGTAGTAATGTTCAATAATCCATCCCATCATGGTTAGTGACAGTTAATAGATTACGTCCGATTTGCATTTGGACCTTAATTATTTGCATACTGAAAAAACAATAAAAAGTAAATGGGCGGCTTTCTTCTATTTTTTAAAGGGTAACGGTGGTAGAGATGTTTTTTTCTTTTTGTCTTAAGTTAATCTCTCAATATATGGTTTCTGTATTAATTTTGTCATTCCATTGACTTTTAAATCAATAGTGTTAATTTCTTTTTTTAATCTCATTCATCTATTTTATTTTTCATTTTAATTTGAATTTAAATAAATAAAATTTAAAAAATAAAGAAAAAAACTAGAAAAAAGTTGAAGTTTAAAAAATTATCCAAAATATCTTTTATGAGTGTAAATTTATCTCGATGATAGTAACAAATTTTAACTATAAAATAAAATATTCATAATATTTTTTTAACACTAACAAAATATTATATTTTCACTTTCGAGTCAAATTAAAAAATTTATAAAATCAAAGTAAGTAAATTATAATAGACTCGTTGAGATATTATAAAATTATAAATATCATTTAAAAATTTAATTAAAATTCTTTTCGTATTTAAAAAATAAATACTATATATATTTTTTATTTTATACTCAAAATTTGCATACTATCATACAAATACATTTAAAAGACACTATAAATATTTTATTTTATACTCAAAATTTATTTATTATCATAGAGATAAATTTAAGTCCATAAATAATATTTTGGATAAAAAAGATATTTTTATCTTCGCCTTTTTTAAAGTTTTTTTTATTTTCCAATTTTTTTAATTTTTTAAAATTTTATTTATTTAAATTCGGTAAAAAAAAAAAAAATTAGATGGAAAAATAGAGTAGAATAATGAGATTAAGAAAAAAAATAAAACAAGCTAACACCCTTAGTTTAATAGTTAATGAAATGATGATATTAAAACAAAAACCAAACATAGAAAAATACAATTAATAAAGATAAAAAATAATAATAATAATAACGAGACTTGTGCAACTATTACCTTATTCTTTCAATGACAGTTAAACCTTGTATTGAAAGAAAGATGAATAGTTGCACTTAACTCTGCTTCTTTGCTTTTTGACATGTTACTTTTAGAGGAGGTAAAAAGTGAAGAAGATATAAATTAGCTAAACAAAAAGGAAGTTGCAATTCCTTTTAATCGAGTTCCAATAAAATGAGAAAACACGTGAGAGTATTAATTTCCTTCCCATATGGCCAAGAGAGACATACTCAATGCCCCTACAAGAAGGGTAAGGTGTGCTCCAAGCTGGAGCCGTAAATTGCATAGCATATTAGAATTCATGAAGTCAGCTCCAAGAAGGTCAACAAGTGCCATATAAATTAAGATCCCTGCAGATGCTGAATTAAGAATGCCTTGAACAATTAATGCATTGGGGCTGGTTTCATTATAACTTCTTGATATCCATATGCCAATAGCAACGCCAGTCGGGGTGGTGAGGGAGAAGAATAGAATCATAATGACCTTTGTTTGAACCTTGAATTTTGCCTGCACGTTGGAAGGGTGAACCAAACTTTGTATGTGTATATATATATATATATACATCCACAATCTAATTCACAAGAGTCTCAGACTTTGGGCTGTAAGAATTAAATTGATAGGTTTTTTTTTTTTTTTCTATATGATAGCTAGAAAGACTTATAAGGTTACTATTCATTTTGATTGGAAGGGTGTACAAGAGCAATAACAGGACAACCATTGATGCACAGCTCAAAATTGACTTCTGCTTATGCATATAAAGCTTCATGATCCTATCCTTGACAAATAAATGAAGGATTACTAGAACTAATACCTGAGAAATGCATCCACCAAGCCCCATACCCTCAAAAAATTGATGAAAACTCAATGCTGCGACCAAAGGTTTGATTGTTGTTTTACTTTTGGAAGCACCCAAGGACAATCCAATGATCACAGAATGAACCACGATTCCGAGTTCCAAGACCTGCAGAAAGTGATATGTCAGAGTCAAACAGTGGTGGTCAAAAGTGAAGTCAAATAGTAAATCTTCTACCCTTTGATTGAAATAAAACATGCATGCACAACACGTACGCTTAAGATAATATTTGCACACACGTGGGTTATTTAAGCAGGTTAGAAGGAGAGGTACTGTAGTATATTAACAATGTTTAGATAAGGAATTCGTGCTATAGGGAGAGGTTTAGAAGGAAAAATAGGCAAATTTTAGTGAGAGAGGATATTGTGGCAGATATAAATATTACATATTGTAAAAAGATGGTGATTGTATGCCATTATTTAAAATGATATAGCGAGAGAAAATGTGAGGTTAGAGAGAGAAGCTATCAAGAAAATAGGCGGCTAAAAATTCTTCAATAAGATGCTAGATGAGATTTTTATAAGCAATAGTATTGACACTTAATCGTTAGAACTGTAACAAATATCTGGTGTATAAAATACTAAATATGCACCACATGTTTAGAAATGATGCATGGATAACATTCTTAAATCTTATTAATAAAAATTGAGAGCGAGCCTAGAATGTTTCTTTTCTCTTAAACCCAACCAAATCAGTCTCTCTCTCTTTTTTTTTTTTTTTTCACATTAAGTTGTAAAGTAAATAGACACATAAGATATATTAAACAAACTCTTTATATTATTCTCAAATACTTATAATTCTATATTATACTTTTTTTAGATCTTTTATATGGTTTGACCAAATGAAAATCTAATTTACATAGAATCATCTACCTCTTTAATGGATAGTCAAAATCTATTCTATCTAATAGTTAAAATCAATTGTTTAAAATTTTCCAATCTAAATATTTACATACCATAACAATGAGGGACTCTTTAAATTTTAATAAGATATTACAACGTAAAATTTTTTCAATGCTTCAAAATCTTTCAAAAGCTTATAGATTTATCTAATGTTCTTTGTTAATAAATAAAAACGGAGCATAACATTAGGCTATTCTCAACGAACCAGGCTATTCATAAAGAACTTTATTCCGAACCTATCAAGCTAAATCTTTCTAAACATCTCATATGATCCAATGACTAGCCAAGAGCGTTACCACCTTATCCTTAGTCAGCTTTTTGAGTCATGCATGATCTCTATTAGTGGACTCATTTGAGTGATTAATTGAATAGCCCTATATAACTTCATCTGAAAGAGAACTTTAGATAAATAATTAGTATAAGCATACAAGAAAAGGCTTAGTGTGGAAAAATCCCATGTATCTGCAATATTTTAATAAGAGTGATGGAAGACATTCTCTTTGCTAGACTACTGGATATGCTTTTTCTTGAATTCCTTTTTTTTTTTATATTTTTCAAAGTTCCTGAAGCAGAGCTGCAAAGTACAAGAAAAGAGAAAGAATAATAAATTTAAGAAATAAAAGAAAATCAGAGTAACATCTAATGTTGTGATAAATAAATAACCTTCCCCGAGGGGAAAACAGGAATGTGGATGGCAAGTCCCTCTCTCTAGATAAGAAATGGCAATACAGAGGAAAGATAAAATAAATAAATATATTTAGCTTTACTGTTTTAAGGTAACGAGTCAAGTAAATACGAAAAATACAGTAGGTCGATATCAAATTCGCCTTTAAAACTTTTTTAATTGCATCAACCCCATTTCAGTTCATATAATTGCAGGGTGGGATGTGAGAGACGTATCAACTGTGGATATTGATTTTGGCATGCATGATCAATAAATTCGGCAATCTGCATCTACTTACAAAAAATACAACAGGCTGATATTAAATTGATTTTTTCTAACTTTTCTAAAATAGGATATAAAAATTTTAGAAAGACCAATGGATCCGATCCGCCGTTATTAATATTCCACATCCATAAAATGAGCTATAAAGTCCATGATTTATAAACAGGTTTCCATATTCATGATATGTCGATCACGAATGGCAATTAAATTTCGTGAATAAAATCACCATTATGCATCGAAATTTCTATCTTGTAGAGTGCTGTACCCAGAGCACACTGCGTGTAGTCATTCAGTCATGCCCATACCTAATTATTACTCAAATTTTTTATTTTTCTCCTTTAACTTTCATACTTTCGTGTAAAACTATTCGTACCAAATGTTTTTAATTGACGAAGTTGGGCAGACTAAATCTGTCCATGACACTATCATCTCGGCCGGGTCCATTTGTGGTCCTACTTGCTTTTCTCCTTTGATGGACATGAAAGTTAGGTAAAAGATGATTATTTTCTGTTCACAACATTACTTAAACAAGGGAAGAGAAAGGGACGAGACTTGAAACTTGATTTATCTATAATTTCCTAAGCGTTTTATATACTAGTATTTTGTTTAGCTTATTAGTTCAATCCTTTTATTCCACATAAATATTTGGAATAAATTCTGTGAGGGTAAGATTGCCTTGAATTTTTGTGAAGTGTGGACCAGTCAATACATAAGCATTATCATTACTCATTGAGATATTTATCCTCTCATAAATAAAAAAAAGAATATATATATATTCTCTACTACTAATTAATAATTGAAAGAAAATATTAAAAAATAATAATTGCAACCAGTCTTAATTCGCCACCTCTAAAAATTATATCTCAAAGCATGGAAAGAATATATAAAGAAAAGGTAGCAAGGCTAGAGCTTAATATGTAAATGCATTATACCCAAGCATATGTTACAGATAAAACCAGATTATCTGACTAGTTATTGTAAGTAGTACTTTCTTTACCTGAGAAACAATGCGGTGCCGAATAAGATCCGATGAATTTGTTCTCTTTAATGCGAAAACAGGCCCATGAATATGACCCCCGCTAGCCCCATTATCATCTGATCCAACACCGTTCTCCTCATGATCACCACTGATTTGTTGAGGTTTTCTCAACTCAAACCTCTTATGGTACCCCGTGGCAAACGACTCCATCATCAAAGTCCCTATGGCAGATAACATGGCCACAAAACCTGCAAATGGAAATCTCCCCCATGGGTTTTGGCCAAGGCAAGGACTTGTTAAACTCCCAAAAGCATCAGGAAGTATGTGAATGAACCCAGTTGCCAAGATCACACCAGCAGCAAATGCTTTGATGAGGAAAAAGCTTCTCTGTCTGGATGTAAGTATGAGATGTTTTTGACAAAAAATGGGAGACAAACTCCAATTGCGCTAGCAAATATAATTGAACCTATAGCAATAAGTTTGTATTTGAGTGCTTCAGATGTGTTTCGGTCATGATTGTCATGTGCTTCACTGGCGCACTTTGAGGAGACTAGGACTGGCAAAAGGGAAATGATACAGGAGACGGTAAAGAATTTCCACGAACAAGATTGATGCTCGATCATTGTTTAAAGATGAGAAAGTGAAACTCAAATACTAACGCGAATAAGAAGTGTGTGTTTGACTCGTGTATCTAATGAATGATTGATGCTCCAATATATGGAGAGAGATATATCATTGGCGTGGTTGGTGTCGATTGTCAGATTAGCCAGAAAAGAGACAGCCAGGGCTTGATTTTGCATATTTGCCAATAGGTACCGAAATTTAATCCTACGTAACTAATTGCTAGCGACACCAAAACATGTTATGAGTAATACTTTAGATTTAGAACTCATTCACGAGATTTTTTTTTTCCCTTTTCGTATATTTGGGGAGCCGAGGTTAGATTACACCATGAAAATATTCTTTTTATAATTTACCTGTTCTTTAAAAAGAAGAGAGAGAGAGATTGTTCAAAATAAATATTATTTTCTATTTTTTAATAAAAATATATAAATTAATCTACATACATTAAAGTTATAACTTCATGGGTCTCTTAATGTTTTTAAACGTCTTCTTGCAAAAACATTTCTAATTAGTTTCAAGTTGGAACTTCTAATGCTTTGCTTTTGGACAAACCATCAGTTTTGATTTTGATAAATTATGAGAAATAGATGAGAACTTCAGATTTTCAATAATTGGGGGCTTATGCACCTGGTTTGCCCTGGTTCAAGAGGCACATTGCATTAAGAAAATAAAATGTATTGAATGGCATGTTTGGACTTGTATAAGTTCAGACTTTTCCAACACAAATAAGGAGATTTAAGGAAGGGGGATGCTCTGCCTGCACCAATCAGACAGCTAATATTGCCGGGACCATTGGACGGAATGAACTAGCCGTTACATTTTTTTTTTTGCGTACTTTTTCCTCCCTATAAGGATAGCATCTTGGTGCGATTAATAGGAATTCGAAGCACATACGGAAGGTCGTCCGGGAGCAGTCAAAACCGTAGGTATCCCAGGGTCCATCAATAATATAAACTACTTTCAAACTATTAAGGTTATGATAATTTAAAATTTTTATTATCAATTTGAATTATCTACATTTCAAATTGTTATTTTATAAATAAAGATTATCCTTTCTTTATTGATTTTTATGGTCAAAATATTGACCATTAATTTGAATGTTTAAACGACATGATTTAAGAATTTTAGGCATTTTTAAAAAAATTAATTAAAAAATATTAATATAATAATAATAATTAATAAGGACAACATGTCGTTTTGAGGTACTATTACTTCAAATGAATTAATTGAACTGAATATAAAAAGAGTTCAATTTCAAGTGAATTACTAAATGTTCTCTTCTTCTGTTAGCACCCAATTTTTTTTCAAAAAATAAAAAAGAGAAAATGGATTGAAAAAAATACAATTTAGGTATGCAATTGAAAAATAAGAGAGAAAATGACCAAAATAAAGTAAGTTGACGAGATGAGAGATTAAACTAAACTTCAGCAAAAAAAACCCTAAAAATCAGTATAAAAACCACTTTTTTCTAAAAATTTCAACAACTTTCTCTCTCTTAAAATCCAGCCACACACACACACTCTCTCTAAAAACTCCAACAAGCCCTTCCTCCACATCCAGTTAGCTTCTCCAGCCGATCCAGTCACGCCAGCCACTCCAAACCGAACTAGCACTCTCCCATAACTCCGGTCATCACATCCAGCACTCCACCTCTTATCCAGTCACCCTCATGTCGTGCAACCATCTCTAGTGGCATCCCAACGTCTCGAGCTGCACGATATAACCCCGTGATGCCTCTAATAGTGTTCTGACCGCAATGGCTGCCCTATCCAGTTGATCTCCATCGCGATAGCCCTCCTCCATGCGTGCGCTATCCAACAGCCACACCCACGTGTGTGACCTTTAGCTTTAATCCCCGATCAGCCACCACTCCTCCGCCCGTGCATTGTCCAATAATCACACTTACGTGCCACCTCTAGTTTTAGTCTCCAGTTAGTCATCCCTCCTCCACATGTGCATCGTGTGCAGCAGCCATTCCTCCATGTGGGCCCTTCTAGTAGCCATCGCAGCCTCTCGATCCAGATCCGATAATGGACAATCATCTCTCCTCCTCGGTTGATTGAATATTAGTGTCCATTGAGATTAAAAAGGTCAAAATTGACCCCAAGTTCATCGGACAAATTGATTCTGCCTTTTTTATAATAATTTATGTTTACCTTATTTTTTATTTTATTTTAATATATATTAAATTTAATTTATGCTCATGTGTCTATAATTAATTAAATCATCATTGATGTGTAAATTGATTAAAATCACTGCTTATATAAGATTTGATTAAATTATTATTGTGCATATGTTTTGATTAAATTGTTGTTATTCATATGATTTAATTAAATTATTGCTATGTTTGTATTGGTTTGACTGATATTCATGATTGTTGATGTGGTTGAGTGATTTGTTGTTGCTTATGCGATTTTTAAGATGCGTTGGGTCGAATCTCATTTTTGGACCACTTTTAGTCGATCATGACCATTAATTAAGTTGTGTTAATTTGTAATAAAAAATATTTGATTATTACTATGCGTTGGTTCAAACCATGTTTTTGGATCTTTTTTTATTATCGTAACATTAAATCAATCACATGCTAATTTTATCTAAAAATACAATTTTAGATCACGTCAATTTGAAACTTGTTGTTTGGATCATTTTATTGTCAAATAATGATTAATTTTGACATTGTTGCCAATTCATCTAAAAATATGATTCTTAAGTTATGTCGATTCGAATTTCATTTTAGGATAGTTTTTACGCACCGTAATGGTTAACGAATATTACGTTTATTTTCTTGTAAAAAATGTGATTTTTGAGCCACATTGACAATTAATTTGACATGGTGTCGATTTTGCTTAAAAATCACGACATTCAAAATCGTGTCAATCTAAACCCTACTCGTCGGATCATTTTTGCCATTTTTATTTTCTTTCATTTTTGCCTTTTTTATTGTTTTTGGTCATCTTTGTAATTATTTTAGCAAATTTTGCCATCTTTATCGCTTTTTTACCAACTTTGCCATCATTTTGGCCAACTACAATGATTTTTACCTATTTTGCATAATTGTCTATTTACCTATTTGTCTCGTTTGCCTATTTTGCATTTTTTTCTATTTTTGCTTATTTGCCAATTTTCCTATTTTGCATATGTGTCTATTTACTTATTTTGCCTATGTGCCGATTTTCTTATTTTGCCTAATCATCTATTTGCCCATTTTGACTTTTGCTTATTTTGTCTATTTTTTCGTTATTGCCTAATTTGCCTATTTCGTCTGTTTTGCTTATTTTGCCTATTCGCCTATTTTTGAACCTTCTTTTCACGTATGCTATCTAGATTGCATTAGCCATATATCATTGCATTCATTATGTCTTTTCATTTTCTTAGCCATTCATTACAAAGTGAGGACAAGATCTTTGACCGACCAAGTCCCAAATCACTCGACCAAGGGGTAAATGTTTGAAAAATGGATATAGGTTTTCATAATTAAAAAAATCAAAAATCAAATCGATGTCGTATACGTTGCGGCTTGCCTTAGAGCGGGACGTGGTAAAGTCATTTTCAATCTTTCCTATATATAATAAACCCTTTATCCGAACTCGAATAGATCGCTTATAAGGTTTTCTAATAATCATAATACTAGATGATGACTCTAGTTATTTTTGTATATTTTTCCTATTTTGGCCTAAACATGTTGCCTTCGCCCCGCGTCGCCTTATGATAGAACGGAGACTCCACTAGGGAATATACTTAAGATTAGGCTTTACATGTAATTCTTGAATTTGATTTATGATGATATAATGAATTTTTATACTCGTATGTCAATTTTTGTAATTTGCCTACCTTGTTTAAATTTATGTCTTTCTCGCCATTGTTTGCCTTGTATTTTTATTTCTTCTTATTTTTATTTTATTTTTGTACTATTATTTGTGTCTTTATTTTTATGTTTAGGACTAAATATTGAATAATGTCTATACACGCACTACACCCATCGTTATTTTTTTATTTTTATCACACACTTGCTTCGGGACTTAGGAAGGTAGTAGTGGTACCTTGATGGGTTTCACCTTGGATAAACACTTAGAAAATCTCAATTTTTTTCTCTAGTCGCTATCGCGCAATAGTTAACCGATGATTTTTTACGTTTACCAATTATCATCTTTAATGATCCCAACGATTCTATTATGATTCGTTAAGCTTGAAAGGACCCTTTTGAGAATTAGATAGATCATATTTCGTTCATATAATGACTTAGAACCAAACCCTAGGATTTTACCCGGTAAATGTCATTAGCAAGTTAAATTTAAATGAAACCTTGACTAAAATAATTTGGTCATGATGTTTTACGATGGATGATAAAAGGACCAATATGCATTTCAAGATGGCTTTTGAATACCGGAGGAAGTCCGAGGCTTGTCAATTGAAAGAAGGTGATTGTTTAACGGAGGGGTTTCGGAGTAACCTTTAAGATGTGGTGCATATTCGAGTGGTCATCAATAATTCCGCAAAGCTTCTAAAGTACTCGGATCCGCATTGTACCCGTTGATCGATAAAAGTTCAAGATTAAATATGAAAATTTAGTTGTTTTATTTGAGATTCCCGTTTAGAAGTTGGCAATTAAAAAATTTATCCAATTATGGGACCCCTCATGTTAGTGTTTTACTTAAAAAATATCGATATGATCCTACTCTTGAAAAGTATCACTAGCTACTCCGGATGCTAAGTTCTCCATGTTTAATATACCTCTATCATCATTATGACGAGTTTATCAATAGGGTTCAAACTTGGTTGAATGAAAGTACGACCCGGGATGGGTAAAACGACGCAATCGAGGGTCGGCACTAGGAAACGTGGCACAAAGCATTTAAGCAAAAGTTTGAAAGATACGAGAGATAGTTCTAAAAGGATTAGGATTCTAGCCATTGGCATCTTCGAACTAGTAATTTCCTTCGATCGATGGGGTAATCAACTTGGATGCAACCAATATGTTCATCGAGGTCAAAAAGAACAACATGAACCCTACCGCGATATTACCGACAGAGACCATCCTATCTTTGAATCATTATCATAAAACAAACAAATATGCTATGAAAGGTTGCATACAATTACTTTTTGTTTAGATTATCGACTACATCGAAGCCCATAAGTCCATTTTCAAGTCGACACGATGGACCGATCAAGAACCATCGAGAGAAGTTATCGTTGCAGCTTGGAAAAAGCATTCACAAGCATAAATGGGTGACTACGTTCCTTGAAATACTAACCATCATAATTCCTTGGATGGCGATATGGATGAATCAAGCCTCTTATTTGGCTTATTGTGGGAGATACCTATGGGTTTTTCTTGTTGGAGCAACGTGTTACACAAGTTATATACCTCGCTATGGTATCTCGTCATTTGGGTTATGAGTAATGCATACCAAGGACAAAGGGTCTTTTCGAGTTCGAAGGGAGTTTGAATAGTGATATTTGGCCAAAAATTTTTAGGATCATTAAGGAAGAGTGGTCGGTACAAGAAATGGTACATCAAAAAATAATTGGTCGAGATACGACCACCATCGTACGGTATCCTATATGGTAACCAACGAGAGTCATTAATCCGTGTTTCAACGGACACATGATTAAATAGATAAAAATCTACAAAAGCAGACCAACCTAGAAATTATGAGCTTATTCAAATGATGATGGATTGCAACTAAGAGGAAAGTTTATGTTTTGGTAGTGATAATTTATATTTTTTTGATGATGGAAAGGTAAGTCACTTACGTTCTTATGCATTATGAAAGAAAGGTCACCTTCTTGACCTCGAGGATGGTTACTCGTGTTTTGAGAAAAGTCCTCCATAAGTGACCAATGATTAAAAAAAGCCACTCATCATTTTACCTTGTCAATTGATTTATTTGTTTGTTATTTTTTTATGATTTTTTATATCTTTACTATGTGAAGCCGGAGAAAAATCGGCTTTTCAATGGCTCCACGTTGTAAGTATTAAAAAAATGGAGTAACTCGTTAGCACCTAAATTTTTTAAAAAATCCAAAACAATAAAAAATATGAAAAGAATTGAAAAAAAATACAATCGAGGGATGCAATTGAAAAATAGAAGAGAAAAGAACACAAATATAATAGGTTGATGAGATGAGGGACCAAATTAAAATTTAGCTAAAAACCCAAAAAATAAGTATAAACACCACTTTTTCTCTAAAAAATCTAAAAACTTTCTCTCTTTAAAAATAGAGCCACGGACATCCTCTCTCCCTAAACTTTTTGACCAGACCTCTCCATTTCGATCGGCTTCTTTAGTCGATCCAATCACCCTAGTCACTCTAAATCAAACCAGGTGGCCTCCCACAACTCCGGTCAGTACATCCAGACTCTCCCTACCTCTTATTAATGGCATCTTGACATCTTCGGATGCGCGATCCAACTCTCGCATCTCCTCCAAGTAGCGTTTCGACCCCAACAACTACCCGATCCAATCAATCTCCATCGTGATAACTCTCATCTACACACACATACTATCCGACGACCACACTCGCATACACATCGCCTCTAGATTTAGTCCTCGATCGGCCACCGGTCCTCCGCACGCATACCGTCCGGACGTCATACTCGCGTGCGTCGCCTTTTGCTTCAGCCTCTAATCGGTCATCCCTCCTCTTTGCACATTGTTTCCGAGTAGCCACTCCCACACGTATGCTCTTTAGCAGCCCATCGCTCCAGTGTCCAAGAACCACCATAATCGATCTAGCCCCACCAACGGTCATCTAATCTAGATTCAACAACGAGCAATCGTCTCTCCTTCTTGATTAACCAAATATCAATTTTTATCGAGATTGAAAATATCGAATTGACCCTAAGTTCGCCAAACAAATTCATTCTATCTTTTTCACAATAATTTATTTTTACGTTATATTTTATTTTAATATGTATTAAATTTAATTTATGTCGACGTGTTTGTAATTAATTAAATCGTCATTGCTATGTAAATTGATTAAAATTACTATTTATGTATGATTTGATTAAATTATTACTATGCATATGGTTTAATTAAAATGTTGTTGTGATGGTATTAGTTTGATTGATATTCATGATTACCGATATGGTTGAGTGGGTTGTTGTTGCTTACACGATTTTTAAGACGCGTTAGGTTGAATCTTGTTTTTGGATCACATTTGGTCAATCGTGACCATTGATCAAGTTGCGTTAATTTGTTCTAAAAAAATATTTGATTATTTCTTCACATCAATTTAAACCATGTTTTTGGATTTTTTTTAATGTCGGTAGCGTTAAATCAACCACATGTTAATTTTACCTAAAAATACAATTTCGGATCATGTTAGTTTGAAACTCATTGTTTGGGTTATTTTATTATTAAATAACAATTAATTTTGACATTGTTACTAATTCATCTAAAAATGTGATTCTTGAGTTATGTCGGTTCGAATTTCATTTTAGAATTGCTTTTACCCACCATAATGGTTAACGGATATTATGTTCATTTTCCTTTAAAAATGTGATTTTTGAGCTACATTAGTCCGAGCCTCATTTCGGACCATTATGGCACGTTGTGACAATTAATTTGACATGGTGTCGATTTTACCTAAAAATCATGACATTTAAAGTCGTGTCGATTTGAACCCCGCTATCGGATCATTTTTACCATTTTTACTTAGTTTGTCGATTCTATCATATTTTTTTCCTTTTTGTTGCTTTTGGTCATCTTTGTCATTGCTTTAGCCAATTTTACCAATTTTTTCATTTTTATCATTTTTTTCAACTTTGCCATCTTTTTTGCGAACTTTAATGATTTTTGCTCGTTTTGCATAATCGTCTATTTGTCTATTTTGTCTATTTGCCTATTTTTCGTTTTGCTTATTTTTATTTATTTTATCTATTTACCAATTTATCGATATGCCTATTTATTTATTATGCCTAATCGTCTATTTGCCCATTTTGCCTATTTTTGCATATTTGCTTATTTTTGCCTATTTACCTATTTTGTTGTCATTGCCTAATTTGCCTATTTCATCCGTTTTGCTTATTTTGTCTATTTGTCTATTTTTAGCCTTGTTTTCATGCATGTTAACTAGATCACATTAGCCATATATCCTTGTATTCATCATTTCTTTTCATTTTCTTAGCTATTCATTACAGAGTGAGGATAAGGTCTCGACTAATCAAGTCCTAAATCACTCGACTAGGGGCAAATGTTTGAAAAATGAGTGTAGGCTTTCTTCATTAAAAAAATAAAAAATCATTCCTATTTTTGCCTAGACACGTCACCTTGCCTTGACATCGACTTGTGACAGCTTGAGATTATTTATTTTTATCCCTATGTTATTTGCTTTGCTATGTTATTTTCTTTGAATTTATCTTTCCATTTGTTTACCGTAAATTCTACTTATTTGCTTCACCTTTCATATGCACTACAACAACTTCAGTTGTCTTCTACTGGACTTGAAAGTCCAATTCCTAAGAATTTTTTCTCCAAGAATTCTATTTTTTAAGTAAAATTTATTCATAATAATTTTATCGGAGTGTTACCGCTCGGTCTCTTTGATAAATTTTTAAGTACTTGACATTACCTATAACAATTTTACAGGATTCATTTTAGGCTTGAAAATCCAAAATTCCTACGAATTCTTATAACAACATGATATATTTGAAAACCATTTGATGGATTTCATTCCTCTTTCCTTTTCAAATGGTACAAATCATAAAACTTTGAATCTTTCTTTAGATATGCTCACTAAAGATATCACAACGTCTTTTAATGAACTAAATAGTTTATAAAGATTTAATATCTCTCACAATAATCGATGGGATTCCTTATGAGTTGCAAAATGCATCTAATTCACTTCTAGAACTTATTTTATTTCTATATCGGGTTTTCTTCATAGATAGACTTTATATTTTTTGAATTTTTTTTTATTACGATCATTTTTTTTTGCCTTGATTTAGACTTTCTATTCTTTAAAATTGTTTGCTTGAGACCTTTGTTATGATGTCATCTATTTTTAATTTGACATGATAAATTGTTGATAGATTCACATATCGATAATTGACACGTAACATTGTAGGCTCCATTCCTAATTATTTCGCACCTTTTTTTCCCTTACGAAACTCATTCTCTCTTTCTCACATTTTGATTTCTTTTTCTTTCCTCCACCTCTCAATTAAAAAAATGAAGTATATTATGACATTTAGGCTCTACCAGTGCTCCATTTATTTGATGAAAATAATTTCCAATAGGAAAACTAATTCCGGGGAAGCTATTTACCGGGAAGGTTTTTTTAAAAAACATATTTTTTAGCATTTGGAAATTGAATGGAAAAACTGTTGAAAAATATTTTTTCAACGTTTGTTTGATATAGAAAACTGAAATAAAAAAATAAGATGTGATTATTATATCAACGAGTTGTAATACCAAAAAAATTTACATGATAATATATTGTGTGTATATATGTGCAAATGTGCTTTATTTTTGTATGTAATTTAATATTTTTATGTGTTTTAATGATGTCATGATTAGATATAAATTTTTAGGACATATTATATATTTTTTGGTATTATAGATAGTATTTTTATAATTAGGAATTAATCCTACAATCTTAGCCTAAGCTATTAGGAATTAAAGGATTAAAATAGTAATTATAATTAATAAAATAATAATAAGTTTTACTAGCTTTTAAAGGGAATGTTAGTGGCTATGAAAGAAGAGCAAAAGTTTTGAAACATATATTAAAATTAAAGAGGGGACATGAATGGCCATGAAAGAAAACAAAGTAGCCATAAAAGAAGAAGGTAAGTGGTCATGAAAGAAAGCCACTTAGTGGCTATAAAAGAAAAAAGTTAGTGGTCTTTTATTATTTTTAATTCATGCACTTAAAATTCATAAATGTTTCAACTTCCCGTGCCTATATATAGGGTATCATTCTCCTCATTTAGGAAAGTCATTTCATAAGCTTCTATTTCAAAAAAAAAAAAAAAGAGAGAATATAAGAATCGAAGTCAAAGGTATTCGAAAGAAGATTCAAGTCTTGGTGATTCAATATTTAAAATAAGAAAAATATTTAATTATTTGTTTCTATATGATTTTAGATAGAATTGAGTTTGAAATTTCATGATTTAGGATTGATTATGTAAAAATCATATTTAAGTATTAAAATCTTATATTTTTATTAGAATATTTGATGATTAAGTGTATTTAAATAAGAATTGAAAAGGTTAAGCTAAAATTTAATAACATTAGATTACATTAATATAATTAGAAGAGAATTGAATAAATTAGAGTAGAGTTGATGATTTAATTATGATTTTTAATTTAAAAAAATTACAATAAAATAATAGGAATTAATAAAAAATTAAATGATTAGGGATAAAATAATAATATTAAATTTCTTATGTTATATGGTATGTATGTTAAAGGTTTGAATTAATTTGAGGTATCAATTTTTAGAGAAAGATTACAATAAACAATGGTCTTAAGCGAATCAAGTAAGTGTAACTCACCTACACCATGGATGTAAATGCTATGTGTTTTTATGTGTTTGATGTGATGTGATGATCTTGAGGTGCATTTATATACATGCATATGTTTTACATGTTGATTGAAAGAAAATGTTTTAAGTAAACGAATGATATTATTTTTTTAATGCATAATAAGGTTTAAAGGTTGAGGTTGCCTATCGAGGCATAAAGGTTGAAGTTTGACTATTAAATGATGAGGTTAATGTTTTTATTAAGGCTAGACCTTGCTAACTCCGTGTTAGTATCTTCTAGCGGGCCCAAATGAGGAAAAGAATTTTAAAAACATTCATGTGTAAAAAATTTGAATGTAAAATCATGCATGTTATATTTATTGGGGTATTCGTATCTCACGTCCGTTCTTTGATGTATGTAATGATGCCAATGTTGAGGATGTTGATGCTCGTTTCGGTGAACAGTGACTCATTTGTCTACCTTTGCAATGATTAGGTTATGCTTTAAATGAATATTTATGTTTAAAATAATAAATATAATGATGTTAAACTTATGAATTTTGAAAATTTTCACTTAGAATTTGAGTATGAATATTGAGACAAGATTATTTAGAAATTTTAATTATGGTGAGATATGTTTTATAAATGATGAAATTTTATAATAACGCTTCCACTATGTTAACAAGAAAATCTTATAATTATATGTTATTAATTATATATTTTAAATTGACTTATTTAAAGATAAATAATGTTAAATTATGAACTTAATTTTAAGAAAAATAAAAAGGATGTAAGTTTTAGTAACAACCCGCCAATCGTGACCCTTTAGGTGAGGTGTCTCGATTAACGAGCGTTACATGAGTTTTGAAAGAATTTCAACAAGTCATATTGACAATCTCATAATATAAAAATTTTCAAAAGAGCTCACATCCATAATATATATTTCTGTCACTTGACTACAAATTGCCCCAATATATATATAAAGCATTGATCATATTCTTTTAGGTTCCATTGACTAGATGGATAAGCAGAGAGTGGTGTCGGTGGTGGAGTTGGGGAATATGGGTTGGTATCATAAAAAAAACATAACATAATTATTTATAAAGAAAGGTCATATAATAAAATTATAATGAAAAACTTAGTTAGATAAATAAAATAAATATTTTCAAACTAATATACGCGTTAATTAAAATTAATTCTTTTCAAAAAGCACCTTTCATACTCGTCTTATCTCATTAAATCAATGTTTTGGAGGTGTGAAAACAATCCTTAACAACCAAGCA